ACATCCGAACAGGCCCTGGCTACCGCGACATTGAATGCAGTACCAGTGTTGGCATATGATAATGCTCCTACCAAAGCGGGACCATTTGGAAGAACTGATAACAAGAAGAAGAAGAAGAAGAAGAGGTCAAACAGACCCTTGGAAGGGGCAAAGTTTTGTACGTTCCATCAACTCTATGGACATGACACTAGTAAGTGCCGAGACGCCAATCGACGCCCTGATCAAAGCAACCTACACCCTTCCAGTAGGAACAAATACCTTCGCAGATCCGCCTCCCCGAGGAGGGGGGGAGAGGTCACAGGGAACAATCGCCTCGGAGAAGAGAATCAAGGGACCGAGGTCAATCAAGATCGGGAAACCAAGCCCAATTTTCTGGAAGCTAGGTCATCAGGGGAATCGATACTATCATTGGGGGACCCCACGTCGGTGGCAACGCCAGGAATGCCCAGAGAAATTATACAAGGGAAGTAAAAGACCCCCTAATGATCACTTACATTGTCAACGAATCGCAAGCAGATAGGATGACCCCAATCACCTTTTCCCAGGAAGACTCAAAGGGGGTTCACCACCCCCATTGTGATGTATTAGTTGTAAGAGCTGTAGTAGTTAGAAACGGATTAAAACGCATGCTCGTTGACAATGGCAGTTTCGTGAACATATTGTTCGGCTCCACTTTTGACAAAATGCAAATTGAACATGGGTTGATCTCCATGACCGACCCACTATTCGAATTCACTAGGGACAGCATCATCCCATGAGGGCGAATCACCCTGTCTGTCGAAATGGGTTCGGCACCCCTAGTGGCCCAGCACTTCATGGAATTTTTGGTGGTAGATCACAAATCGACTTATCATGGAGTATTAGGCAGACCCGCTCTAAAAGATCTTTGGGCTGTCACGTCCATCCACTACTTGTGCATGAGATTTCCAACCGAACATGGGATTGCTACGGTCCGAGGCGATCAAATGGGCTCCAGGGCATGCTTCTTAAACTCGCTGCAAAAGTTCGAGCCCCGAACTGTTAATGTAATCCTAACTGAGGTACCCGCTGAAGTCAGTACGAACATGGAAATGCTTGACGCCCCTGAACAAGGGCATACCTCTGAACAAGAGGGAGACGTCGACATGGAAGAGGTCCCTGAACATGGACACCCTCTTGATGAGTTAGATCCCCGAATAATTGATTCTGAACCAAATGCGACCCCGATGGAAGAATTGGAGACTTTCCCCGTCAACCCAGAAGACCCCAGTCAGGTCTTGTGTATAGGAAAGTCATTGTCCCTTGAAGCAAAAGCAGAGACGATAAGCTTCCTGAAAGGGAACCTGGATGTGTTCGCATGGAAACATGAAGATATGGTGGGAATAGATCCTAGGATCAGTTGCCATCACCTTAACGTCAACCCCTCCTATGCCCCCCGTAGACAGAAGAGGCGTGCCCTCAATTCGAAAAGGTATGAGGCACTGAAAGATGAAGTAAACAAACTTAGCCGCAGTGGTTTCATAAGAGAGGCCATCTATCCAAGGTAGATATCCAACCCGGTCCTGGTGAAAAAGCCCAGTTAAAAGTGGAGGATATGCGTGGACTTCACGAACTTAAATAAGGCGTGCCCCAAAGACAGCTTCCCACTTCCAAGAATAGATCAACTTGTGGATTCTACTGCTGGACATGAACTACTGAGTTTCATGGATGCATACTCAGGGTATAACCAGATACCCATGTTCTGACCTGATGAGGAAGCTACATCGTTCATTACGGACAGGGGTCTGTATTGCTACAAAGTCATGCCCTTTGGATTGAAGAATGTCGGAGCTACATATCAGAGGTTGGTCAACACGATGTTTGCCGAACTTATTGGAAAAACCATGGAGGTCTACGTTGACAACATGCTGGTCAAAAGCCTCCAGGCAGCCGAACACGTAAGTCACCTCGACCAAACTTTTCAGATACTTAGAAAGTATAATATGAAATTGAATCCCCTCAAGTGCACCTTTGGAGTGGCATCAGGCCAGTTCTTAGGATATATTGTCAATCAGAGAGGAATTGAGGCGAATCCAGTGAAAGTAATGGCCTTGCTAGAAATGAGTTCACCTCAGAAACCGAAGGAGGTCCAAAGTCTCAATGGTCGGATAGCCGCGCTCAGTCGCTTCATCTCCAGAGCCACCGATAAAAGCTTGCCTTTCTTCAATGTACCGAAACAAGGAAAGAAATTCCAATGGACTTCGGAGTGTGAAGAAGCCTTCGAGGCTCTGAAAAAGCACCTTGGAGAGGTGCCCCCTCTTGTCAAAACCTCAACCGGATGAGTCTCTACTGCTGTACCTTGCGGTTACGGACGTGGCGGTCAGCGCAGTCCTAATCAGAGAAGAAAATGAGAGCCAATTGCCAGTGTACTACATCAGCAAAGCACTTTTCCCAGCTGAAACACGCTACCCAGATATGGAGAAACTAGCACTCGCCCTTATCACAGCCTCAAGAAAACTGATGCCGTACTTCCAGGCCCACTCAATACAAGTTCTCACCAACTTTCCACTAAAGCAGGTGATGCAGAAAATAGACGCATCAGGACTCCTGCTAAAATGGGCAATCAAGCTCAGTGAGTTCGATCTAACTTTCCAACCTCGACACGCCATCAAAGGTCAGGCCCTTGCTGATTTTATGGTTGAGTTTGCCAAAGCCCCAGAAATGGAAGCGATAATGGAACCGACCGAGACTCCCCCACATGGAAATTGTTCGTAGATGGGTCCTCAGGAGAGGCTGGCGCAAGGACAGGGATTGTATTGGAAAGCCCGGAAGGCCACAAGCTAAATTGTACAGTGAGGTTTGGCTTCAAAGTCTCGAACAACGCTGCTGAATATGAGGCCCTTCTGGCAGATCTTAGACTCGCTAAGGAGATGCGGGTCAGGAGGCTCCTGGCGAGCAATGTTTCTCAACTTATAGTAAATCAGGTCAATGGAAACTTCGCAGCCAAAGATGGTAGCATGATTGTGTACTTGAAGTTAGTTCTGGACATAATTCCTCATTTTGAAAGGTTCGAACTGACTCAAATCCCCCGTCTAGAGAATGCACATGCAGACGCCCTTTCAAAATTGGCCAGCAGCATGGATTCAGAGTTGCTAAAGGTCATCCCTATTGAGCAATTATCAAAGCTCTCCACCTCCAGAGGTGAAGAGATACTGTGGACAGAAGGCACCCCATTATGGATGCAACCGATCATTGCCTACCTGAAGGATCAAACACTGCCTGCTTCTAGAGGCGAGGCGAGGAAGTTAAGAAGAAGGGCTGCACACTTCGTCCTGCAAAAAGATACCCTTTACAAGAGAGGCTTCACCTCGCCTCTTCTTCGACGCATAGGAGGCAAAGAGGCCACATACATACTTAGGGAAATTCATGAAGGAATCTGTGGAAATCACTTCGAAGGAACGGCTCTGGTACACAAGGTTCTCCGTCAAGGCTACTTCTGGCTGACCCTGAAAAGGGATGCTAGCCATTTTGTCCAGAAATGTGACAAGTGCTAGCGCTTCTCGAACATACAAAAATAGCCTGCTCAGAGCCTATCCGTAGTAACCAGCCCTTGGCCGTTCGCCAAGTGGGGCATTGACTTCATTGGTCCACTCCCAAAAGGGAGAAGAGGTGCAACTCTCGCCATTGTCACCATTGACTACTTCACTAAGTGGGTCGAGGCTGAACCCCTTGCCAGGATTACCGAGGCTAATACTACCAAATTCGTCTAGAAAAACATCATTTGTAGATTCGACATTCCCCACTCCTTAGTGTCTGATAATGGAAGGCAGTTCGACAACAGGAAGATGCGAGACTTATGCGACGAACTGGGCATAAAGAAGGACTTCTCGACACCTCATCACCCCCAAGTAAATGGGCAATTTGAGGCAATGAACAAGACTATCAAGCACACCCTGAAAAGGAAGCTTGATACCTCAAAGGGGGCCTGGGTTGACGAACTCCCCCACGTCCTCTGGGGTATCGGGACTTCTTGCCGGACTGCAACCGGTGAAACACCATTTTCCATGACCTACGAAGCCGAGGCCATGAGTCCGGTCGAAGTCAGGGTCCCATCACATCAACGGATACACTTCAATGAGATCAGCAACGATGAGGCTCGAATAAGCGAACTACACCTCCTTGAGGAAAGGAGAGAGACCTCCCAAGTGAACTTGGCAAAGTATCATCGCAAGATGACCCGCTATTACAACTCCAAGGTCAGAAATAGAACTCTTTGCCTGGGCGACCTCGTCCTCAGAAGAGTCTTCCAATCTTCAAAACCAATCGAGTCAGGAGTGTTTGGCCCGAACTGGGAAGGCCCTTACCACATCCGCAAGGAATCCTAACCTGGTACCTTCGAAATCAAAGATATGGCAAGAAAGGCGTTGCCTCATCAGTGGAACATCGAACACTTGAGGAAGTACTATCAATGATGAGCCTTTGTTCCGATCTGATCTCAATATGTTTTAATGAATCGATTGTTCTGATCTGATCTCAGTTTTAAATTTCCTAATTTACTAAGTGCTAGAATTGCCTTGGTAAAGGGTGGTGTAATTCATCTCATGTAATGAAGCTTCTGTTCCAAGCCACATCAGTTAGTAAATAGTTTCCTCAGTCCTTCAATAGGTTCATTAAAGCGATCCGATCTTCAATTATTAGTTGATTAACGTTAAGGGGCTCTTCATGTTTTCTTAAGTGGTCCGCTTCATATTAACTTAAGTGGTCCGATCTTAAATTGTTAACAGATTAGCATTAAGAGTCGCTTCGTACTCACTTAAGTGATTCAACTTATATTAACTTGAGTGGTCCGGTCCGCAGTTATTAACTGGTTACTGTTACAAGGCAATTAGTCTGACGCTTGTCATTCATACAAGTATGAACAGATCGAAAAGATAAAAAAGCATAAGCACAAATACTTAGCAAAATTTCATTTCATTGAATAAATTTAAGTACAAGGAGGCCGAAGCCATTACAAAGGGTAACCCTACTCTGCCGGAGGGATTTCTACATCGGCCGCCTCTGGGGCCTCTGGAGCTTCCTCGACGAGCCTATCAGGCCGACCTCCAGTTGGCCCCCGAACTTTGCCTCCAATGAGGAGATCTCCAAAGTGGGGTGCACCTCCTTCAGTCGACCCAATAAGCTTTGGGCACTCCATGAGGCCCAAAAATTGGCGAAGTCGTCATACAGGGGATGGTCTTCAAAGAAGTCGATGAAGTTCTGAACTGCCACCTCCCCAGCAGACTTCAACTCCTCCTTCAAAGAGGCAATCTCCTCTGACTGAGCCTCTGCCTTCTGCCTCAGCTTCGCCTTCTCTTTGTTGGAGGCCTCCAAAGCCTCGACGATGAGCTTGTGGTACTCATTGGCGTGATCAAGCCACCGAGTCACAGCAGCCACTTGGCACTCCACCTCGTACAACTCATTCTTCAGCCGCTCCACTTCTGCTTTGGCGGCAGTTAGCTGGGCCTCAGCTTCCTTCTTCCCCTCCTCCGCCTGCGTGGCCTTAGCTTGGGCTGCTCGCACGGCATCCCCGTAATGCATCACCTCCTCGAGGCATTTAGTGAGGTCCTCCCTTTTGGAGTTCAGATCCTTCATCAAGCCCTCAAGCTGAATGCTTGTACTTAGGGCCCGAGCCACGCAGGCGCTATTTGTAGCCACCAAATCCTCAGCTGTGTAGGAGACGGTGTGGTCCCTCCACTCCTCGGTCTAGTATTTGCAGTGGACCACCGCCACCGTAGCTGTTTCTGGAGGAAGAGCCTCCAACACTTCCCTTACGGGCTCCTCCGGGTTTGTGCCCAGAAAGTCGACCTCCTTAGAGGGATGGGGCCTCTTCCTCTTCTGCTGCCCCGGCACTTGATCAATTGGCATGGCAGCGAGGGGTGTTGTGGCCGGGGCAGTGGCAGACTCAATTGGGGCAAGCCTCTTTTCCTGAATGGCCACTACGGTGGGAATTGTGGTTTGCCTCAGAGCAGAGAGTGGCTTCGCCACAGTTGGGCATTTTGGAGGGGCGGCACTCTTCTTGCCCTTCCTCCAAAGGTCAGCCTCCGGGTCCTCCGGTACCTCCTCCTCCGTCGAAGGCTGAAGCCTCTTACTAGTTTCCACCAAATCCTCCATTTGCTTTTTGTAGGAAGAGGAGAAGGCCTTCAACGCCTGTGCCTCTGCCATCATCTTCTGGACAGTCTTAAAGTCGGGGCGCACCGACATCTTCTTATTAAAGTTGTCTGCAAAGAGCGAATGAGAAATTAGTACAAGTGTTGAGAGTTCAGAATAAAAAGTAAAGACTTCGGTCCAGTTACCTTGGGATGCCATCAGATCGTGGGTAACAAAGTGGATGTTCTTTCAGATCAGCCTATGGTAAGACCTCTTCTTTTGAGGCAGCTGATAAATGATGCAGATGGTTTCAAAGTCCTCGGATGACAGCTCGCACCGAGGAAGAGCACCTACAAAGGAAATGTAAATGTTAGGCACAATTTGAACCGAAGAGAAGTATAAGGAAAAACAACTACTATACTCACTAAGTGTTGAGTACTTCATCGGGACCGTAAGAGGTGCCAGGGGGTCCCCCTCCATCGTGTCCCATCGCCCTGCGGCCCAGCACCATGAGTTCTTCCATTCTTTGATGAAGCTCAACAAATCGAGCACGAATGGAGTGTGAGAACCCCATGAAGTAAGGTAATACCATCCCCGGGTCTTATCCCCCCCGACAGTAATCTTAGATATATAAAGGGTCTCGAAGACAGAGAGGGGTATCTCCATCCCTAATGACGTCTCTTTCCACAACATCCAGGAGCCCATCATTTGGCTCCAGGAGTTCAGATTGAGCTGCGCCGGGGCTAGCCCATAGGATCTAAGTACCATCCTAAAGAATGGGTGAACTGGCAGCCTAAGTCCGGCCCTAAGGATCGCCTCGCTAATGGCCACATAGCCCGGCCTAGGGTAGCAGGCTCTCTCTTTCGACCTGGGGAGGATCAAATCTATGCTATCAGGGATCCTATACTCTGTCCTAAGTCTTCCCAGGTCGGCCTCTCTTAATTTGGATGGGTAGTCCGATGCCCCCCAATGCACAGACGTATCTGCTGGGCTATCCGGTCGCTTCCATATATTTTTCCCCCTCATTATTGCCTCGGCTATTTTTGAGGAGGTCGCCACAATGGGGTAGTCCATCCTCACTAGTTATGACCCCTTCCCCGAACCAGAACTCTCCTCTGAGGCCATTCTTTCAAAATTTAAAAGCCCTAAAAGGTACTGAAACTTACGAGTTTGAAGGTTTTCCTAGCCAGAAATGGTGTAAGGTCGCCGGAAGTTCAATTTTCTCGCTGGAATTGCTTAGAAAATGCCGAAAATCGCCAATGACTTGAGAGCAAAGTAAATTGTTTGTTTCGCAAAGGTAGAAAGCCTGAGAAAATCTCAGAGTCCTCCTTTTATAGAAAGACAAATTCGATCTCCACTGTCGAATTCAAATGCGATCAATCTAAGCCGTTCATCACATCTTTAATCTAGGCCGTTGAAATGAAACGCCAGATTTGATCTACGTCCAAGATGTCGCTGTGATATTCACGCTTGCTTAAAAATGCGTCACCTCGGTTACAACTAGCCGTCAATAATAATAAGTAGCCGCGGCAGCCTTTTGAGAAAATGGGCATGGCACCCAACTCTCACCTTGGAAACACGCAACAGTTGGCAAATCATTTGACGTTTGAATCGCCTCGGATCGAGCTCCTCACTCAACTTTACAAAGTTTGGACGCACCTGACGCGAAACCCCTAGTGGGTCATCCCTCGGATGCTGCGTTCCCTCCCATACTTTACAAAGTTTTAGCCATCTCCCAACACGTCGGCCCTGTGGGTCAATGCACCAGTGGCAGATGAGCTCCTCACTCAACTTTACAAAGTTTGGACGCACCTGACGCGAAGGCCCGTGTGTGTCATCGCCTCGGATGCTACGTTCCCTCCCATGCTTTACAAAGTTTTAGCCATCTCCCAACGTGTTGACCATGTGGGTCAGCGCACCGGTGGCAGATGAGCTCCTCACTCAACTTTACAAAGCTTGGACGCACCTGACGCGAAGCCTCCTGTGGGTCATCGCCTCGGATGCTGCGTTCCCTCCCATGCTTTACAAAGTTTTAGCCATCTCCCAATGCGTTGCCCTATGGGTCAGCGCACCGATGACAGATGAGCTCTTCACTCAACTTTACAAAACTTGGACGCACCTTACGCGAAGCCCCCTGTTGGTCATCGCCTCGGATGCTGCGCTCCCTCCCATGCTTTACAAAGTTTTAGCAATCTCCCAATGCATCGGCCCTATGGGTCAGCGCACCGGTGGCAAATGAGCTCCTCACTCAACTTTATGAAGTTTGGACGCACCTGACACGAAGTCCCATGTGGGTTACCGCTTCAAACGCTGCGCACAGTAACGAAACTTTGGCACATCTGCCTAGGATCATAACCTCGATTACTGCAAAAGATCAACCCCCAAACTCCCATAAGTCGCGGTCCGGTCAAGAAAGCAAGTCCACCCATGATATAAATATTCATACCTGAACTTGGAGGACCACTGTTACACTCCGATCTGAAACGCCTCAGAACGCATACCACCATATATTCCGACCTGATAAAGACCCGTCCGATCTGATACGCCTCGAAATGCGCACCACCATCTATTCCGACCTGATAAAGATCGTCCGAAATGTTTTCGAAGTGATATCAGCAATGCCTGCAACCTAGTAGTACTGACCTGACCAAAGCACCTCGCCCCCGACGTCGAGGCCAAGTGAACCCCAGTTAGAAGATCCGCCGCCAATTTCAGAAAGAGATTTGTGCCAAGATCTTTCCTGCACCTAAGGTTTAAATTGATTTGACGTCTCCATGAGGCTAGTTGATGTGACTTATCAACTTTATGTCAATTCAACTCAGAAGAAACAAGTTGTTCACCCACTCTACAGACGCGGCTGATTGACGCCTATGAGCGGACGCCTCATACCGTCAGATGTATATACGCGTCCCACATCCAACGGCTCATACCACCTATAAATATCCAAGGTTTGACAAGAGGCAAAGGTAATGAATCTCTTACTACATAGCACTCCATAGCAAGCTTATATATTTTCTCCTCCCCTTTATCATTAATTTGCACAGCCCCTGGGTACTGTTCCGACCACTTAAACCTGACTTGACCGTCGGAGTGTATATGGCCGTCACCACCTTCGCTAGTCCCGGCCGTGTGCGTCTAACCATTCGCTGATTGTGCACAGAGAGGAATACGTGGAGTAGTTATCGATTGGCCACGTGGAAGGACCAATTTTCGAGATCAACAGCAAACATTATTGTTCTTACGTTGGCTGAGAATCCTGAGAAATACAGATCATTCATTTGACAAAGTCGGAAACTTGGATTTTGCTCGGAAGGATTATAAATAGAATGAAGTCATTCTTCATATATTTACCCGCAGACTCAAAAATACTGCTGGTATAGAAACATATTCCATTGATTCCTCCAAATTGTTGAAAGACCATTAGTCCAACCCCAATCTGGACAATATAAATAAACAAGAGTATAATTTCTTTTTCTTCCTTAATACTATATAATGTTGTCGTATCCAACTCATGAGATAGGCTAAAAAAGAAACAGAAGTAAAGATTTACTGTGACAGAACTCAGGTATCGTTTTTGAAATAAGTCGAGTACTTTGGCTTCTGGAAGTTTCTCAAGAGTTTCTATATAATCCTGTCAAAGAATGATAACTATCATCTGCATATATAACTAATGAAGAAATCAGGAACTAGAAGCCTGTACTTGGATTTCAGCTGCCTCTTTTGATATATTAGCTTTCTTGCCCCGGAGTCTTCTTAATGCAGCTTTAAACTTTTTTGATCTCCATTTTTTGCCAGAGTATATTTCAACTAAACATTTTAGTAAAATTTCGATCATTCTTCATGACAAATACATTAATATATGTGTTCTTTTCCTACCAGCCATCTTGGAGATTCTGGGATGATAACGAGACCAACAAGGAGAACAGCACATGGGATTATTCCTGCAAGATTCAAGAGATGATTATTTTTAGCAGTATTACCACTTGTCCTATATTTCTATTCTGAAAATCCCAATTCCTCGGGTCATTTTAGGCCAAGCATTATCACCTATTATTGCCAAAGCCCTCCAAGTTAGAAATATGCCTAAGATAGAGGAAAAAATCCCCCAGTACAAATCATCCGCTGTGGATGAATAAGAAGAAAATAAGTCGGTTCGGTGGTTCCATTTTAGAGTCCAAAACCACGAAATAAACATATGTAATGAAGGGGATCTTTACTTGGTTTGTGGTTGTCAAAGCGCCTCGTAAATCTTTGGAAGAGATTTCAGCTATGAACACTGGTACCTAACAATGAAAAGATCAAACATAAATAGGAGTCGTAAACAGGAATATTTCTATCAAGGAATGAAAAAACTTTTTTCCACATATGAAAAGACTCCCATTCCATATTATCAGAATAATTGAAGTCAGTTTGGCGCCAAATATTTCTGATTAGTTTGCTTAGCTGTCAATTAGCTGGATGTTATAAACTACCTTTCCCGCCATTTTTCTTCTTCCTATTTAACGTGATTGTACAGAATATTTTCAATTGAATGAGATATTTTTCCATTTCTCAATTTCCTCTTCTCCTTTAATATGGTATCAGAGCAGAGGCTTCCTTAGCTTCGCAATTTGCTCAATTAGATCCGCCATGGCAGAAAAGGGAGATCTAGCTTCATCTTCCATTTTGGCTTCATCTTCATTAATGAATCATTCTTCCACTGATGATGTCTCCAGTCGGTATTACCTTCATCACTCAGACAGTCCTGGTATAGTTCTAGTTTCACAGAGCTAACTGGTGAAAATTATGCTGCTTGGAATCGAGCCATGACCATAGCATTAAAGGTGAAAAATAAATTCGGTTTTGTTGATGGATCGATTACTCGACCCGAAGGCAACACTGAGTTGCTTAATGCCTGGATCCGCAACAATAACATCGTCATCTCTTGGATTCTTAATTCCGTAACAAAGGAAATTTCAGCTAGCATCATCTATTTGGAATCTGCTCATGAGATTTGGAGAGATCTCAAGGAGAGATTTCAGCAGAGGAATGGTCCTCGAATCTTCCAATTAAGGCGTGAATTGATGAATTTGACACAAGGACAGTCATCCGTTAGTGCTTATTTTACCAAATTGAAATCAATTTAGGAAGAATTAAGCAATTACAAGCCGTCATGTACCTGTGGAAAATGTGAATGTGGTGGTAAAAAAAGGTTGGCAGATCATTATCACATGGAGTATGTCATGTCATTCCTAATGGGATTGAAAGACTTTTATGCACAGGTCAGGGGGTAGTTGCTGCTCATGGATCCAATTCCATCAATAAATAGGGTGTTTTCACTAATTTCACAGGAGGAACATCAGAGAGCTATTAACCTGAATGTTGGATCTGCTGGTTCCTTAGCCTTTCATGCTAGAAATGAAGTGAAGAGGATAGGTATGGGGCAGCCACCTCAAGACAGGAATCAAAAGAAGGAGAGACCAACTTGTACATACTGTGGATATGAATGACATGTGATTGATAGATGTTATAAACTCCATGGATATCCACCTGGATACAAGCCAAAGCAGAAACTTGGTTCACGCAATTACACAGGTTTTAATCCCCACTCAAATAATAATGTTGCTAATCAGAAATATTTGGCGCCAAACTGACTTCAATTTTTCTGATACATATCCTGTTGCTAAACTTCAAATGTCCAGAGGCAGAGCTTCCTGGAGTAATTATTCATAATTTTATCAAATACAGATTTTTGTGTATACTTATCCATTTGTTGGTAACTAATAGAATAACTAGTTACTTATGTTTAGTAACATAAACCTTGGCGAAGTAAATCAATAGCCACCCTGCTACGCAGAATCCACTTGATACTGTCATCGCCTGCTTGCATTTCATATCAAACGAACCTAAATTAATCGGGAGGAAGTTCTAAATAATGGTTGATATTCCTACACGTATTAGAATCTCGTCAAGCTTACCCCTTTACGACCTATACAATCAGCAATTTTACCAATTGTAATCGCTCCTATCATCGCTCCTAAAGTTAGAATTGAGCCAAATAATGAGTACTGCAAAGTAGAAGAGTCAAAAGAAATGTTTAAGCAATGAATTTTGGACCGATTTCACAAAATTCTTTAGAATTAGGACAGATAATCCTAGTATAAACGTTTAAACCATGTCAAATGCACAGTGTTGGATTGCAATATACAGCCCCCATTTGCACCCCCATTATTTGGTATAAAAAAATTTGGAATAGTGTTTTTTTGGGAGATTGTGTGGTTGAAAAAGAAAAAAAAAAATAGACTTACTATGAAAGATTGTATAGTTGAAAATAAGAGCGAGAGAAATTATAATGGGAAATAATGGTGGCAAAATGGGGCACAGTACCAAATAAACAAGTTTGCGGTCGAGTACTATCTAATCCGTTCTATCAAACATGCTAACCTCTGCCAGGGATAAACTCAGATCATCTCGGATGGCAGATCGCGTAGGTGATGAATACCCTGCCTGAAAAATGTAAAAAGACTAATAAAACACTTTTCCACATTAATACAGCAACTTCTGGCTTCTGTGAATAAGTAACAAACAAATGAACTTATAAGAAACTCGAAAAAAAAAAAAAGTATTTATTTCTTACACAAGATCCAAATATATAAGAGCCACAAACTGCAACAAATGTTCTGAAATAAACCATTCATCTTTACTCCTTGATCTGCTTATCACTTCCATTGCAGTCTTCGACATTTTCTGCTCTCTTTTCTTGTGAAATAAATGGAACTTTAATTTCTTCTTGCAAACTGTTTTCAGCTTTCTCTATATCTTGATTCTTAGCCATTCCGCTCTTCTTGTTTTCTTCATGTTACACCAAGATATCACTACAAAACCAGAAAATAAACAAGAAAAATATTACAAGAAAAATGGCAGAAGAACAAATCCTCAGCCATTCACTGAAACTCGAACCAAACGGCATCCAGATAAAGGTCCTTTCATCTATGGGGCTCAAACTCAAGAAAATACAGGATTGTACCCGTCTGTATGACCCACACCGATTGCCCCAAACCCTAAGGTTTTCCTCTATCAGATTAAAGGAAACCACAAGGGTAATCACACACCAATCCCTCCAATACACTTAGTATTTAGTATCACAAAGAAAGAATCACCCAGATTTCAGATCCAATCAGAGATTGGATGGTCACGAAGAAGGAAGGGTTTGGAAGGATCTCGAAGCACAGCCGCAGCTGAAGAGAGGAGTAAAAATGACGGTCCAGCTGAATTAGGGCAAGAGGTGGAAGTATATATATCCAATCAAGGCAGCTATAGATCAGATTTTAATCCAATGATCAGGGGGCTTTCAGTAATCTAAAGAAAACGTGTTTATTGGCTGCGTTAAAAAACGCCATGCCAAAAAACACGTTTTTATCTACCTTTGGGCCGGGGCGGATCAGGGTCAAGTTATTGGGCAAGAGTCTAGAATATTAAAACAGTTATTTGGGCTTTAGCCCATTTGTCGTCATAGCCCAGAAAGGTTATTGGTCATCACAGCCCAACACTTCACTTGCCAAGTGAATATATTGTTGGTTTTTTTTATGTATCCTAGAGAAGAAAATTGTTTTCAAAGAACAAGCACTAAAAATATAAGAGATAAACAAGAGAGTTCTTGGATGGAGCCATGGTTATATTATTCAGCACACATTTATTTGTATAATTATCTTGTTTGAAAGTTTAAGCTATTAAGAAAAGAACAACGACGTGCATGTCACATTCATTTATTTTTAAAATATGTATACATCACTACTCTCAACATCGAACATTTAACTTGTGCCACTTGATCTAAACTTTGTACAACGAAAGAAAAAATTTATAATTGTTTGTCACTATTCATTCTAATTTACTATCTTCATGAAATAAAGACAACAATTTAAGTGTCTGGGAGCGTAAGATTGTTCTGTAAATAAATTACCTGTCCTCTTTCATGATTAGAGGACTCGATTGCTATTTTCGCGTGTCCAAAGTCCATATTAAAGGAAGGTTCAAAGCTAAGCTTTAGAAAAGATTCACTATGTCGCACTATTAATCTTGATTCTATTAAGCTCGTTTTGGCATAAAGCATTGCATCGTTGTTTAACCATGCTGTACACTTCTTTTACGCCTGAATCACTTAGACTCGTAAAAGCTAAATACTTGGCCTTACTGCTTTTCTACTTCCAGACTTCATCTAGAATTACTTAGCTTCGTGAAAATTTGAAACTTGATCTTATCATTTAGCTGCACTTTCTCCTTTTGAAAACTGCTATTAATAGTCGTACACACCTCAATTTAACATCTATACAAGCTAAGTTAAATTATCATTAAAAGATGCCACCAAAAAGACAAAAATATGTCAATTAAATCCAGTTAGAATTTCAGTGCAAAAAGATAAGACAGCAATGAGTTGAGTCAATTGACTGGAAAATGGGTTTGAATGACAATTGAGATTAAGGACAAGCTTGATGGACCAATTACAAAATCAGTTATGTTACAAGTATCGAAAATATTTGACAGAATTTTTATAGAATAATACTTGGCAAAAATTCATTAATTTTGGACCGAATATGGGCAGAAATTGCATCATACAGGCAGCACCGCTATAGCTTTGTGAATAATTCTCTGTACACGGGGAATTATTCTTACAAACTTTTCCGAAATGGTGGCTTCTGGTTGTATATTATTGTTTCCTTTTTTAATTAAACGAATGGCTAAAATATTATCCACTTAAGCAATTTTGTTTCAATCTTATATTTTAATGCTACTAAATTTCTTTAAATATAATAATTGAATTTTGAAATGAAAAGTTAAGACAAACGAAGTTACAAAATCGAAATGCCTCTGAGTTGTTGTGTAAGGTATTTTTATACAACGTTAGATAATTTTAAGGAAAAAAAAATCAAAATTGTGTTTTATGTGTTCGTTAAAAATATAGATAAAAATTGCATTCAATAAAAACTTTTCAAAATCATATAATAGTGTACATCGAGAAATAAAAATTTGCTTTCGAAAAGAATATGCCGCAAATCCAATTAGCAAAATATTTTCACCTACCAAAAGTTGATAGCTCATACATATCACTTTTCAGTTCGTTAATTTCTTGGGTTTGTGGAGTAAAAAAAATTCTTAAGATGAATAATGATTAAATATTAAGCTGTATAAGTGGGATGAAATTAATTAGGAAAATGCCAAACGAACATAATGCTTGACACAAAAGATGACACTACACTCACAACCGAGGTGTGCGTCCCGCGCGAATAAAATAATGTCGACCTCCCATGTGAGTGTATTGTGTCAACCAATGTGTTAAACTTTGTGGTAGTAAAGCATGATTGAATTAATTAAGATTAAACTGAAAGAGGTAGCTAAAGCATGATTAACGTGGAGTCGAAGATTTTCATCGTGATGCAACACATTGTGAGAAGGGGAGATAGATGAAAAGTAACATTATTTAAATATTTGATTTCGGCAAGACTTAAAACTTACTTTTTGGAGTAAACCGATTCCAATAGAAATTCAATAGCTTCAACACATAAATTTGCATGAGAATGATGAAAAATGTTGACGAAGAACGTGAGATTTTTTAAAGATCGAAAATATCGTTTCAATCGAAAAGTTGTCTAATCAGTTGAACTTGGTGATCTGGAGGGAATATGAAGGGCAAAAAATTGTCCCTCGGTTACTTTTTGTGGTCCCAGGCCTCCACGACAAGTCTCGTGTTCAACTATTTGTGAGTATAAAATCAAAAGTATGACATAATTAAGTATAGATAGTTATTAAGAATTCTTTATTGAAGATAAACAATTGTAGTTATCCATTTGATGACTATTTTAAAGTTTGGATATATACGTATTAGAGTGAGTAGGTTCATGAATTCGGCAAAAATAATGCTTCTGTCATCTTACCACCTGGACACGTCATCTTCGAGAAAAAATATATCTATATCGAGAGATAAATGTGGCAAGAATAATCTTATCTAACATAAGTGCACAAGTTTAAATGACAGTTGAATAAGTGTCATACTTCACTTAGACATGATAATCGAAGACTTCTAATTATGTAAGATTTTCAAACATTTTGCACCAATTAAGGAGCCAAATATGGTACTTATTGCACCAATAAACAAGTGAACTATGGAAATCCTAGAAACTCAATATTGAGAATATCAACAAATTTGGGCAAGAAAAACATGGACCTCATTAATATCATGATCCAGGAAGCATGAGCATAAAAGGCTAAACGGGCTTTGACAAGTTGGCACCTCAAATAAAGCAGAAGTAGAAGCAAAAATAGAAGCAAAAATAAAAGCACTAACACTGCAAGCTGAGCCCTTAAACACGTTGAGACAAAATGAAGAAGTTTTCTTCAGTTTTTGTTCAGTGCTTTCGTGAAACATCAAATTGTTGAACCCGTGTTCTTGATTGCTACGCGGACTATACTACCAACTCTATGCAAGCTAGTGAAATTGTTGGACCATGCTAGGCGAAGTTGCAAAGCCAGCAACCTCACAATAGGAAGAGAAAGCATATCGCAACTCGCAAGCGATCTTTTTGAGAAACTCGAAATGCGAATTCAGGCGGCAATGTAAAAATGAATACAGTACCACCTAAAATTCATCATAAAAGTCAATTCAGATTCAAATAAACAGCTCATTCAGGTTGCAGAAACACAAGATAGCAGGTAACAACATTTTACAACCTAAAAAGATCAAACATTTCCTTCTCATTACACCAAGGTCGGGAGAGTACATAATTCATTTTTTTTTACATAATAAACAGTGCTTCTAGTTTAAAACTTATCATATACCATACCATCATACAGATCTTTTCTGATGGAAAAAATAAAACACACAAATAAAAACCTCGGCACAATTAGGCTCTTGTACAAATATATTGCAGTAGATAAAGAGATTTAAGAATATACCGAGCAGTCGTTCGCTGCTGCTGAGTGATAACCTTTTCGTGCATAAGATACTTTAATATGCAAAGCCCCATGGTGCATCTGAGAACTCTTGAATCTTCCGTCCTAATAGCATAAACTAATTGCTAGTATCCACCATCCTTATTGATCTATATACTTCTACGCGTAGCAGCCGTGAGAAGCTCTTGTACAGTAGGGTGTCGGTGATTCCAGATCAACGTACCATTCAATCTATCTAAATGAACAAAAGAATGAGCTACGCATAGTAATTCAAGGAAGCAAATTGCAGTATGAAGTTCTATTGACATTCTCGTCCAAGTACCAAATTATTTGCCGTCAGAGTTCTCACTATCCTTCTTGGGTGTCTGAGGATGGTCTTCATCAAAAGTATAATGCTGATAACCAGCAGGCGTTGACAAGTTACCAGAGCCGCTGCTGCTTGCTAATCGCTCAATATCATCAATATTTGCTATGAGAGATATAGGTCTTTCTGGTATGGAAGGAATTGATACATCAGTGTCTAACAATTTAACAACTTGGTCCATTGTCGGCCTAGCATGCAATTGCGGATGCGAACAAAGAACAGCCACTAACACATACTTCTCCACAACATCGGGAGGACCCAAATCTGGCATATCTTCAACAACATCCAATGGTCTCCCATTCCTAACCAGAGACCATGCCCAATCAGTGATGAGGCTAGGTGGGCTATCATTAACAGCTATCAGAGCTTTCTTCCCGCTCAAAAGCTCAAGAAGCACTACTCCAAAGCTATAAACATCACTTCTCTCAGTCAATTGTCCATACAATGCATACTCAGGCGCTACATATCCCCTTGTCCCAGCCACCCTAGTACTGAAGTGAGTCAATCCCTCTGGGTTAAACTTTGCTAATCCAAAGTCCGCTACCATAGGCTCAAACCTCTCATCCAAGAGTATATTACTAGCCTTGATATCCCTATGAATAATTGCCGGTTGGGCACCATAATGCAAATAAGACAACCCTTTAGCTGTCCCAAGAGCTATCTTCTGACGTATAGGCCAACTCAACTTCTTCTCCACCAACCCAAATAGATGATCATGAACACTCCCATTCTTCAACAAGTCACACACAATTATCCTTTGGTGCCCCTCAAAAGGGGTTGTCGCTGTACAATACCCTCTCAACGCCACCAAATTCACATGTCTAATGCTGGCAATAACTTCCACTTCGTGCATGAAACTCGCATCACCAGAAGCAGAACAATTCTTGAACCTCTTCAGTGCCACTTCAGACCCATCTGGTAACACTCCTTTGTACACATTCCCATACCCTCCTCTCCCAATTATATGCTCCCTTGAGAAGTTCTTCGTGATCGCCTTAATTTCATCAAATTTGAACCTAATTAATGTAGTGCTCCCATTAATCGAATCCAACCCGGAAGTTAAGCTAACCTCTTTCGTAGCCTTTGTCAACTTTCGCTTCAAAAATTTCTTCCTTCTTCGCCGGAAAAACCAAAACCCTAAAAAACCCAGAATCAAAACCACCGCAGATATCGACAAGCCTACCGGGATTACAACTTTTTTCTTCTTACCACTCGACCTGTGTGATGCAAAATCGAGATTGAATAAGCACTTTGCTGTACCTTCATTGGTGGGCCCAAAGTGATTTGCAAAAGCAGCGACGTAGATAAAAGGGTAGGCCGTACAGTCGGAGACGTTCCCAATTGACGGGCCGGTAAGGTACGAGGCCTGAAGCCTTGAAAGGGCGGTGGTACAGGTGGCACAAGGGGAGCCGTTCAGGAGGGAATGGTTACATGCTGAAATGACGTCGTCGAGGTCGTTTCGCGGGATGAAGGATTCGAACTCGGATCGTGTCGTGATGTTCATACAGCCACGGGCAATCCACTCCGTCTCGAAACCACACCGACTGCGTATGTCGAAGTTGGGTTCATACTCGTTGACCAGAGACTCATACGAGTCCCAGCATGATTCGGCCGAGTCTGGCGGCGGGAGAAAGGAGCTGGTGACTCGTATATACTCAGATTCAACAAGCCGGATGCCCTGTTTAATATACTGGCATTCCGAACGGGTATCCAAGTTACTGGGCCTCTTGCCTCTCCGTAAAACACCAAAGTCTAACGGGCAACGGTTGGAGACATTACCGTTCTGGAGGAGTTCCCGACGGGACTGGTGACGACTGGAGGTTGAAGGGACCAATATTTGGCACAAAATTGATAAAAACAGCAAATAATAACGAATACGTAACATTTAGTTTCCGGGTTCACAACAACGATTCACAAAAATCAAAAGGAGGTTTGCTTTATTCGACGGCGGCTTGCGAATGAGTATTTGAGGTGGGCCGACAGTAGGGTCTGGGAAATAAAGTTGATGACGAAGCACATAATTATTCATTAGGCAGCCAAGGTGGAGATTATTCATTCGAAGTTGAAGAGAAGGAAGGTAGGTTCTGGGAAAAAGGAAGTGGAAATTGAAATACCAGGAGATGACTTTGATGCCAGAGTCGTTGAATCTGGGGGTCCACCACTGTTGTTGAGCTGTGGCTATGCGTGGAAAAGTAAAGGTGAAATTGTAAATAGTCAAAGGATACGTTAAGATTCATGTGATGGATTACGTTATGCCACGTTACACCCTAGCATTTACTTTGCTATTTGTACTGATTTTTTACACTTTAATTGATACTTGCATTGTTAGCAAGTGTCAATTGGATGCAAAAGTTATTTGAAATTTAAATTGTTCAATAGGAAAATGACATGTGATAAAGTGTAAATTAAATTGTACACAGTAATGTACATGTAACAAAATTCAATTAAAATACAATCAATTTTTAATCCAATTTTTTCTATTAAATAATATTAAGTAATATATTTTTTAGGGCTGTGCTTGTGTACAGCAAAACACACAATCATCTCACATGAGAGGGGTCCACACTGAACGGGACCTTATTTTTTATGTACAAATTACAAAATCCAATTTCTCATACACTAATCAGTTTCTACACGGCCAAATCTTGAAGTCACATGAGAGATGGTGTAATTCGAGGAATTTTCTAGAGAATCTTTGCATTTAGTTTTTTAATTTAAAATTTTTATTTCATTACTTTCATACGCACGCAAGGTAAGATCAATCATTTAAATCATGATACGTGGGACCCAGAGAAGGTGAAAGTTATACGCTAGAAGGTGCACCTTGACTTCACGAACATATCGATTGGTCCTACGCTTGATGACGGGTATCAGCTGTACATTTCATGAGGTGCAGTATATGTTTCTAACTTCATTTATGCCAATCTTATTATTTGCTTGTCCAAGTGATTAAAGATAGCTAGAGCTTGTATAGGTGAAAATGTACAAATGTAAATAATGTGACAGAGAGGGAGAATCTAAGAAAATTCTAGTTCGGGATTTTCGGCACCATTTGGGCCAACAGTGGCGAGAATTTCCCATGGTTTGGCTCTTAAATTAACATCTTTGCGCACAAACTCAGTTTCATTTTCTTGTGCTAAAAATCTCTCTTTTGTGTGTATGGATTGTGCAATTTATGCCTATAGCTTCAATTTCGCAACCTTTGCTCGTGATTGAAGAAATTCAAAGATCCCTCTATGCATTCTACAAAATTAAATTCTCATTCTTTGTGCAATTTTTTGCACACTATTTTAATAATTCAAAAGATTCAAGGCCTTTGGAAAATTACTGGCTGGAATTGATAAAAAAAAATGGCATTTAACTCTTTGAATTTATATGATAGTTGACGTGCAGTTTGTACTTGTATATCTCTATATCTGATAATGTCTGGTTTAGTTTTCTTTGTGTTTTTTTTCTCTGAAACCACATTTTATAAATTTTTTTTTCTTTTGTCAATTATTTAACTTTTGTCATCATATTTTTTCTCCAAAGACTGTATATATGTTCTAAGTACAAAAAGTATTACACGACTAATGATAAAATGAAATATTTCATGGTAGTCAAAATTCTCTATTCTTCATAGCCGCTGTGGAAGACCAAGGCAAGGCCTACCTCTGGCAAATTCATAAACAATATATTTGGTAATATTTCATCTTCTTTGTAGTATCATTAATATTATTTGCAATCTCTGAGTACAATATGAAATGTTTTTTATTTAATGGGTATATTTGATTTTGGAACCCCTACTTATAAATTGATCTATGTTTTCATCTTTTTCGATGTGATATTTTATCTCTTACTTAATATATCCCCACAAGATGGTAGCCTGTTTGAGTAGATCAATCTTGAAATCTCGAATCGCTCGTTGGAGTTTAATAGACTCTGATATCATGTTAGGACTTGAAATTCCATTTTAAAAAGTCAACATTATTAACTGGAGTAACACAAAGCCTTATAAATTTTCTATATTTCCATCTTTTATTTGATGTGAGATTTTATTCCTTAACAATGATATGTCTTATTTGTGTATTGAGATTGTTGAACGTGCATTTTATATTATTATTCATATTAAGAGTTGTGGATGTTTGTTGTAAGTGTGAATGCCACTATAGATATGTCATATTATTATGTGTTTGGATAATACATCGCTTGAGGCTCCCGACAATCATTAAGGGTAGTCTAGAATGGGATACTTGAAGGGTTGAACATCTGTACATTGGCTGTGCCAAAAGGTTCCTCGTTGCTCTTGGGAGTGCCAATAAGCACGTCGAGCATCGTATATGTAGGTTAGCCTTTTTCCAACAAAATATGTATATTAGTGCAACATCCCGAGGGATGCATTATAAATTCTTGAGTTTCGATGGGAGACCAAATTGACATGAATCTCAATGACCAAGAATTGACGCAATACGTAATTATAAAATACACCGATTTGTTACCGATTATAATTGGACCATAACGTAATTTTACTGACTTACAATCTCTGCTACTGGTTGGGGCATCACAATTCTGTTTCACCCAAGTTTTTATTTGGATATGAGATTTCTATTTGCATATATAATTCATTGTTTCAAGGCGTATCTACAATAATAGTTATCTTTATTAAAGTGTGTCTTCAATTAAAGAGACGTGTCACCTACATTTTCTGTTTGGTTATGTGTCAATTAAAGTTCCATTTCACCTAAATTTTCTATTGAGATATGTAATTTCGGGTTTCAATACAACATGTCCGTACAATAATAGTCTATTCTCTTAGAAGTATGTCTAAAAGAGAGATGCTACACTACCAGAATCATTGACAGGTAAGTAGGTGTGGTATTATTTGTGCTATTTTTTAATTGGGTGGGACCCATTCCATTGTGAGTAATCTGTACAAATTCTGGAGGAATCAATCTGATATAATAGCTTTTTCCGTCTATAATAGTAGTCTACTCCTATTATATATATATATATATATATTACAAGTTGGACAGAATGACATTTTACCTCAAATTTACTCATTTAACATGCCACCAACCCTTTTAGTCTTAAGATGCACGAAAGAAGCAATCATACAACTCTGCGAAATTAGAAAAGATAACTGCACGAAACTCTCTTTGTTAGTTGTAAGCATGATTAAAGATGTCATTAGCTTACATTTCAAGTATTTGTCCAACCGAACTCGTTTAAAAGTATATCGAATAATATAATCAATCTTCTTACGATTCTTAGTTTAATAAGTATTGTGTTACGTAAATTATATTTGACTTAATTCGCTATAAACTCAATAAGGTTGGCGTCTGTTTGTCCAGAGCCAATGCAATAAAGTGAGAGAAGAGATTGTCAGCATTATTAGAGACGAAATAAACGTAAACTCACTCATCTAAGAATGCATCAATGTGTTTAGAAGTTTATAACCCTAATCAAGTTTTTATGATAGGTTTCGTGTACAAAACTAATATTGAGTAGGAAATGGGTTGCAATGATTGAGTGATTAAAACCCATTGGGAGACAGAATTTTTCCTTACGGCATCAGCTACCTCTATTTTAATTATTAAAGTTCGATAAATTGTATCAGTGGGACAACCACAATTCTTTATCGATTATTTATTTTATTTTGATGATCAAATTTTTTTTATAATTATTATTACCGAAACTATTTATTTATTTATTTATTCTGATGATCAATTACATTAATTGAATTTTAAAAAAGAATACTTTATTTGATTCGATATTTAAATTTCATTAAAAAACTGTAACTTTGTTAAACTCTTGATTTTCTGTTACCATATTCTCCATTTTAATCAAGGTCAACTACATCCACCTTCACACTTAATTTTAATTTAATAAAGGGGTGTATTCAATTGAGACTTTTGACTTTTTGAGATTTAAAAAGTTTAGAAGTATTCAATTGAGACTTTTTTAGAATCTCTAAAAATTACGGTGTATTCAACTGAAACTTTTATAAACTTTTAAGAAGTCTCTAAAAAGTACAGTGTATTCAATTGAAACTTTCATAGACTTTTAAAAACCTCTAAAAGTTACGATGTATTCAATTAAAACTTTTTAAAAGTCTCTATAAATTTTGGAGTATTCAAATTTTAATGATTTTTAGAGACTTTTATAAAAGTCTCTGGAGTATTAACTTTTAGGCAAAAAGTACTCATATAAAATTTTAAAATTTGTCTCTCATTAATCACGAGATTTAGGGTGACTTTAAAAAACAAAATTTTCGATCTTTTTTCCTTTAAATTTCTATAGACATGTATGATTAAAATTTATTTTTTTCTATTGATTATATTTATTTCTATTTATCTTTCTTTCTCTCTCTTATTATTTATCACTATTTTCTATGAAAAAATTAAACTTTGATTCTTGTAGTTTTTTTTCGCTTTTTTTATTCATTTTTTTGTGAAAAATATCTATTTTATTATTAAATTATAAAATTTAATATGAAAATTTTTTAATTAAATTTAAATATATTGATTTTTATTTATTTTTAAAAGTATACTATACTAATAATATTGAATCACACACACACACACACACACACATATATATATATATATTATTTCTTTAATTAAGATCTTAAATTTTTATTTTTTCAAAATTTTTATTATGTGGGAAGAAGGTGAATTGTGGGAACTAATATCTTATTTATGAAAATTTCACACCATTGTACTAGATTCACATGAATTCTATTTCAAATGAAAGTTTTCAAAAGTCTTGCGAATTCTACAAAAATTTATAAAAATTTTAAAATAAAAGTCCATAGAAGTCTACAAAAGACTTCCACTAATTCCGTAAAAATTTATAAAAGAAGATCCACGAAATCCACAAAAGTCATCACTTGAAAAAAATTCACCAAAATCTTCAAAAGTTTTAATTGAATACACCCCCTTAGTGAATATTTGGTAGGTATTAAAATTGGATTTTTTTTTATAGATTGTGATAGAATTTTTTAAAATGTGTTATTGAAAAGTTGTGGAATCCATGAAAAACGTGGTTAATATTATTTATTTGACTTTGATTTAAATTAAAATCAAATTTTAATCCCTCCCAAGCAAGCTCTAATTTTTTGATAAGCTACTTATTGTTTTTAACTTTTTTTTTTCATCTTTTGTTAATAATTTATAAAGGATTAATTTCAGAAATGGTCATTGAACTTACCAAAAAATTACAAAACGGTCATTGAACTTTCGGGCGGTTACACTAATGGTCACTTAAGTTTAAAAACTTTCACAAATGGTCACTGAAGTTACCAAAATGATTCTACTTCAAATTTAAGGATCAAAACACGTGACCAAAGAATATTGAGGACCTCAGGTGCAAATTTTCGACCAAAATGAATTTCCCAATCATCTAAAATTGCCACCGCTTTCTTCCAAATTCATCCAACTCCATTGATGCCCATGTTAATAACACCTCACAGATCGCTCAAGCTCATTTAGACGCGTCTAACCATGTTTATATAACAACAAACAATCAAGAAAATCAAAATATAGAGCATTTTTTTGAAACAGCGAACTCGCAGCCGACAAACTCATTTTCTAGAGATGATGGTGGTTCCCATGATCGCGGATCACCGGTCCTAACATCCTCTCTTCATGATGCACCTATTCCAGCCATGAGTCATCACCAATTTGGGCACAAAGTGAATGAATAGGTTGGACGATTCATACGCAAGGCACCTCGATTAGTCCACATTCAACTGAGCTTTCTACATCATCCCAATCATCAAATTCGCCCTTAATATCTTCAATTTAGGTTGGTAGTACGTTGGTTCATGAATAAATTGCACCAATTAATCATCAAACTGAGCCAATTTATGGATTATCCGCACCAAATCCACTCACGAGAAAATGAATTTCATCCATCAATTGGAGGCTCCAATGCGACCCAACATACAAATCAACTTGGGAGAACTGACATTTAGGTTCAAAAGGCACTAGGTAACTGTTCAATTGTAGAAATTACAGCTTTGATATAACAAATTTTGGAATCCAACATCTCTGGGCTTGGGGTTTTTTTGTTCGAAAATTTGCACCTGAGGTCCTCAATATTCTTTGGTCACATGTTTTGGTCCTTAAGTTTGAAGTAGAATCATTTTGGTAACTTTAGTGATCATTTGTGAAAGTTTTTAAACTTAAATGCGTTACTGAAAGTTTTATACTTCAGCAACCGTTTTGTAATTTTTTGGAAAGTTCAGTGACCCTTTTTGAAATTAACCCAATTTATAAAAGTAAATAATTAATTTTACTTATATATAAAAAAAAATAAAAAAATAACTGATTTAAATGTAGGGGTAAATTGTAAATAACTATCCTTGATGCTACAGCGAGTCATTCTGTAATACGCAATGCCTGAGTTCCGGAGATAAGAAGACGAAAATTATAATAACTTTGATCTTCTCTTTCAATTTTCCTTTGATATTTTCGACAGAATTTTGGTGGGTTGGTGGAGTAAAATCCAGCACCTTATCTTCGAAGAATAACCTTTCATAATTACCAGTTTCCTTCCTTAATAGCCTCAAACGAACAATTTCTGGTCCGAAGAAGGTGTACAAGGTTAAACAAAACTAAACATAAAATCCCTGTCTTTCACTGTATTCTTTGTCCTGCTCGCCCTGTCTTGTTCACCTCTGTTTTTCTTTTTGTTTCTGCAGCCCTTTTTTTTTTTGTCTTGGAACATCTCTGAGAACTGTCGGCTTCTGTTTTATGGTACGTCTGTTATGTGTTTGATGTATTGTTGGACTATGTCTAGAATCTTTTAATATTCTTACTGAGTTGCTTTAGAAAAGATTCTACGAGGTTTCGGTTTTATGGGTGTAGGATTCGTGAAGAAAACGTTGTGCTGTTCCTTTTTATTGTTGGCAAAACTTGCTGTCCTGGTTTGACGTAGCTCCTACATTTAAGTTGAATCGAATGTAAATATTGTATGTTTAGTTTATTTATTTTTTATTTTCATTGAGGGTTTATTATTGCTCATGTAATAAGGGATTGAGTTTAATCTCTGGCAGTATTTAAGCATGTTGATTTGAGGAGCACAAGAGAATTCGCATTTACGTGCTTTCTTTTTATGAGTCTGTTTCTTCTGAAGTCTTCTTCTTGTTTGTTAGCACTAATTGCCATAAATTTGCTCAAGATTGGTTGTTAAGGTGGAGAATTGAACCTAGAATTCTCGTTTTTCGTCATCAATCGAAAGAATAGGCAATTAAAAAAAATTAATAACAAATATTTTGTGGTTGATTTTTGGCAGATTCGTGTTCTTTGAGTATGGATAAAGAGAAACCAAATATTCATTCCCCTGATACGGTTCTGGAGGACTTTTTTAGAAGTGAGGACTCTGAAACAGTGTCTTCGAAAGCAAGCACGTCTGAAATCGAAGCCCAAGAAGATCGAAAACCTGCTTCTTTATGGGCTGCATTTATTCAACTATTTAGATATGAGTCGAAAGGACAATTCGCCAACTTGCATCCTCTCAATGCCTTCAAACTATCCAAGAAATTTAGCAGCAGCATGAGAGAGTACGCATGTGGCTTGTCTAATCCCCTTATCAATTCCAATCTAAACTATTTCAAGCCTCACTGGAAGAACTTTAGTTTCTCCGAACTTCAAACTGCAACCAACTTCTTTTGCCAAGGTTAGTAATATATTTTGAATTTCAATTTTGTGTCAATATCTCCATCATTGATTACTAAGTGTGAATTGCTGCTGTATCTAGGTTATTTGATTGGGAAAGGCGGTTATGCCGAAGTATACAGGGGCTGTTTGGAAGGAGGCCAGCTATTTGCAATTAAACGGTTGACAAGAGGACCCATGGAAGAGAGAATCGGGGATTTTTTATCTGAACTCGGGATAATGGCTCATGTTAACCATCCCAATACTGCTAAATTGATTGGCTATGGAGTTGAAGGTGGAATGTACCTTGTCCTCGAGCTGTCTCCAGTCGGAAGTTTGGCTTCTTTACTTCACAGTTAGTGCACGTGATCATTTTCTCAAATTTATTGTTTCTGTTTATACTCATTGACACATTATTGATGATTTATACAGATTCAAAGAAGCTGGAATGGGATATCCGGTATAAGGTTGCCTTGGGAACAGCTAAGGGCTTACTGTATCTTCACGAAGGTTGTCAAAGGAGAATTATCCATAGAGATATCAAGGCCGCAAATATATTGCTTACGGAAGACTATGAACCTCAGGTATCATCAAAATTTTAATGAGCTGATACAACGTTTTTATTTTTCCTCTCTTTTGATGTCGATGAAAAAGCCCAAAGAATTTTATATTTTATAAGGTTTTGGGTGCTTAGTCCTAAAAGTTACTTTCAATTCAGATTTGTGATTTTGGACTTGCAAAATGGCTGCCAGAGCAATGGACTCACCTCACCCTATTAAAATTCGAAGGCACATTCGGGTTTGTAGAATATCGTCATTGCTCAATTTTCCGTCTATAATCATACAAAATTCTACTTCTAATCTCTTATAAGATTTCTCTGCTACCTCTCTGCAGATATCTTGCTCCAGAGTTCTTAATGCACGGTATAGTAAATGAAAAAACTGACGTTTTTGCCTTTGGGGTGCTGCTGTTGGAACTTATTACTGGTCGTCGAGCACTGGATTATTCACAGCAAAGCCTTGTTATGTGGGTATGATGACTCTTTCCTCCTGTCCCACTCGAGTTGCTATATATGATTGGGACTAATGAGCGACATTTCAAAATTTGGCATTGCTTTTTGGTTTATGGTAGGCAAAACCACTGTTAAAGAAGAACAAAATTAAAGAGCTCGTCGATCCCTCTCTTGCCGATGACTACAACTCGGTACAGATGAATCTCATGATATTGGTTGCTTCTCTGTGTGTTCAGCAGTCTTCTGTTCGACGTCCTCAAATGAGTCAGGCACGTGTACTTATTAACATGGCTTATCTTTTTATGTGAATTTTACAACCAAAGAAATTTCCCTTAGATTTGAAGGGATTAACTTATTTTCTTCCTTAATCCCGTGAGGTACTGTCCAGTCCAAAATACTAAACATACAACTAGTGTCTCTATGAATATTACTAGTATGAGAAGAACTTTCACACGATGTTTAATTTTCTTGTAATTTACACTCCATAACACGATTTTTTTTAAAATTTTTTTATTTTTGAAAATCCATGACCTAATTAAGGACATTACAATGTAGTTCGGTCTCATTATACTTTTGCATCGTTGAGCGTCAAAAACTGTATTGATTGTGCAGGTTCTGCTGCTTCTAAGAGGAAGCTGTGGTAGCCTAGACTTGGTAAAAAAATGTAGAAAGCTGTCCAGTTGGAAGAAGTATTATAAAGAGCTTTTTAGTGCAGAAGAACACAGCTCAAATCGCAGTTTTAGTCTGCGATCACAGATGGCCCGGGAAGTCTGATTATTAGAGCCAGAGTTTCCTATCATTTGCTTGTATATGGCTCGTGCAGCCCACCTGCTGCCGGGAGTTTTTTGTTTGAAGAAAGCGCCATTTGCAGGTTCACATATTATCAGGCAAAGAAAGCAATGTACAGCTCAAGACCGAAAGGGCGAGATTAAGAAAATTGTAAAGTTATATTACAACAATGAACTGAATGAAGTGGTGAAAAAGGATTTATGTAGTCGAGTCTAGATTTATTGAGGTTGTTCTGTATTAAGTAATCAAATACGCGATTGTGAATATTGAAATTTTTTTGCTGAGGAAAGGATAGACATATTTTTTGCTTTTTTCTGGTTAAGTCCAGACTGAAATTTGTCGCATTTCTGGTGCAATTATTATAGACAAGTGATCCTATGTTGTACATAATTAATCTGACTAGCCAACATAAACTTTGAAGGGGGCTTGNTCTGCGATCACAGATGGCCCGGGAAGTCTGATTATTAGAGCCAGAGTTTCCTATCATTTGCTTGTATATGGCTCGTGCAGCCCGCCTGCTGCCAGGAGTTATTTGTTTGAAGAAAGCGCCATTTGCAGGTTCACATATTATCAAGCAAAGAAAGCAATGTACAACTCAAGACCGAAAGGGCGAGATTAAGAAAATTGTAAAGTTATATTACAACAATGAACTGAATTAAGTAGTGAAAAAGGATTTATGTAGTCGAGTCTAGATTTATTGAGGTTGTTCAGTATTAAGTAATCAAATACGCGATTGTGAATATTAAAATTTTTTTGCTGAGGAAAGGATAGACATATTTTTTGCTTTTTTCTGGTTAAGTCCAGACTGAAATTTGTCGCATATCTGGTGCAATTATTATAGACAAGTGATCCTATGTTGTACATAATTAATCTGACTAGCCAACATAAACTTTGAAGGGGGCTTGTCGGGGTTTTTTTTTTGACTTATTTTCGTTACTTTAGGATTAGACAATCTCGACAAGATTTTAAAAAGTACTGTGTCTAAATTCTTCTTGCCAACATACCAAAAGCCTCAATAATAATTTGAAATTGATGATTTGACATTATCCTCACCTTCCTCTGGTGTATCGGTGGTAGTATATTCAATATTTCAAATTCAATGTCAACAACTAAACCTGGAGTTTGCACTCGTTTTACATGACTTAATCAAATATTCTTGCGTTTCTCTCTCTTATCTTCAACAATACATCTCTTTTTTCTTTTATTTTCTTTTGGCCATTTTTGTTAAACATTTTTAAAAATTAAATCCTCGCAGGAAAGCTTTGATGATAGCTACGTTGTACAAATAATAACATTGATGGAGACTTCAATTAGGCCTTCCCCATTTTACAAGGGAATATAGCTATCCAAATACCTAAATAAGCTATTTCTCCTTTCTTCAAAAGCTATAGTTGTGATATCCTACAGCTACTTACGTATTTAGAGTAATTGAGTTCTAAACTTAAATGATGACATTAGCTATTATTTTCTTCACATATTAAAAAATAAATAAAAACTCTTGATTGATATTTTATTGATAATGTGTGAAGTTATAAGGACACATTTGTGTGTTTTAGGAATGGTTTGAGACGATTGAGTAAAACGTACTTGATTCGATTCGCTCAAATTTAGAAGATTTAGCCGTAAACATGGACACATTCACGTGATACACAATTTGGAATACATATATATGATGAAATAAAGCTTTTTAAAAATGAAAAAAACACTTGATAATGCTCAACTCTTGATATCCATTTAGATAATATCATGATATCGAATGGATGAAAATTAAAAGACATAGGATGAAGCTCATCTTTCGATGTATATTTAAAATTTTAAACAAAATTAGGACATAGAAATGAGAAATTCAATCATACTAACATGGTGTACTCAATTAAAATTTTGATGAATTTTTTATAAGATTATAAATTCTAATGAATTTCGTGGATTTGAATAGATCTTTATAAATTTCATAAGAATCTCATTAAATATAGTAAAATTTCAAAATACTTAGCTGTATGTATTTTTAAGCTTCAAAATTCTTTCAAATCTTTTGAATTCTTTATATTAATGAAATCTTTATAAATCCAACGTAATTGAGGACGCCTATGCTGATCATGGCATAAACCATGCCTAGATACCCGAAAACCGGTTTTCCCAAAAAAGTAGAAATGCCTAAATTTTAAGGGGTTTTATTGAATCTCATTAACATTTCAAATAGAAACACCTAAATTAAAATTTTCAATTGAGGACGCTTAAATTCTTATTGATTATAAAAATTCACCACAATCTTAATTGAGAACTCCCACTAAATAATAAGAAATACTAAAATAAATAAAACTTTTATTTATTTATTTTTGATATCCTTTTTATTTTTGTTTTTTGATTATTATTTATTTTAAAGATAGACAGATAAAAAGATGTAAAGAAATAAAAAAAAATACATTTTGATTTTCTTATAGATTTTCTGATTTTGCCTTCTGCGTAAACAGAACCACAAAGAGGGATCGCGTGGGAATATAAATGGTCTCCGATTTCAGAAACAGTAAAGAAAGGCATTTTGCTTGTAGTCAAACGCCAAAACCGCACACGGAAATTGAAATCTGAAAATCGGTAAATCTTGCGTGTTTTTGTGACGGCGTTGTCATTCCTCCGGCGATCGAAAATCGGATGATCGAACACGACGCGGCTGATTCGTCGGCCACTGTGGCAGAAGCCTGGTTAGTTGAAGCAGAACACCGAAGCGGTGGAGTAGATTTGGAGGTTTCCGCTGAGTCGGTGGTGGTTGGGAACGGTTGAGAGAGAAAAATATAAGGGAAGTAATAAAAAAAATAAGAAAAAAAATAAAAATGAAGAAAAGCAAGGGCAAGAACAGCAAATTGCTACCTAATTCTTTGAGAATCATATCGTCTTGTATTAAGACAGTGTCGACGAATGCGAGCACCGCCGTGCGCTCAGCCGGTGCCACAGTAGCCGCTTCCATTTCTTCTTCGTCCGACGATCGCAAAGAGCAGGTCTTTTGTTTGTTGTGTATTTAGTTTTCCGTAAATCTCGCCGGTTTTTCAGTTTTTTTTTTTTTTTTATTTGATTTGCCTTTTTTACTTTCATCGTCATTTCTTATGCATTTCTCTAGGCTTTGGATGTTATAGATTGACATTGAGAAGTTTGATTCTGGAAAATTATCTGATTAGTTTTTTATTATTATTATTTAATTTGAAGAATTATGTTATAAACTAAATTTAAGCTTTGTTTATGTGAACTTATTATTTCACCAAAAAAAAAACTCAGAAACCAATTAGTTTATCATAAATTAATGTGTAAAGGCAAAACCTTATCTTGCTCAACGTAAAAGTAGCAGACTAGCAGAGTTGAGATGATTCAGAAAAGGATTTTACCCTTGCAGTTATTTTTATGCACTGCATACCGTTACACACAAATATAGGGGATTTTTTTAGAGTTGTACGTGTGAATTTGTTAAGATTTAAGAGACTTGTTTTATAAGAGAATAGCAATCCAGAGAGCTTATATTTCTAGCTAATTCTGTCATTTGGTACCCTTAGTGTTATTATTTTAGTGCTCTCCATGATTATTGTTCTGATTGCAGTGGAATTCCTTCTTGTTTCTCTTCTTCGGCTTGTATAACACTTACTAGGTTTTAATGTGTTTCGATAGAAAGTTGCTAGACATCATCCCAACCTGTGATTCAATTGTATGTACGGTTGTTCTCAGTGGATATCATGTGATCTATACCACATGAATACTGCAAGTATATCACTCTTTAGCAGATTCTGAAATAACCTTATTTATATATTATTCTGCATTTTTTTGTTAATGGAAACTACTACACTACTTTTAGCTAGGTTGGATGACTCAGATACGGCTAAAATTGCAACTATATTCCATTGATTTAGTCGGGGAACAGGCTGACAACTGCAAGATTTTGTGGGTTACATATGCATTTACCTTCATTCTGTTTGTGTTACCATATTACCAAAAGCCTCCTTCCTTTTATTTTTTATCTTATGTACCATGGAAATAATGAGCAGCCTACTCTTAGTTATTATCTTTGAGTTCAGGATGAAAATAGCTGGAGTCAAGGGCTCTCAATGATTTTATCATTGGTAATAGGAATTTTTCTTTTTAGGTATTTCCTGTCTACTTGTGGCTACTATCAATAAAAAGAACTCCTTTTCTTTGTTTCTGAATTTTCATTCTTGCTTATGAATGTATACATTGTCAAAGTTTTAAACATGCTTCATTTGGTAACTATATTTTCCTTCAGAGTCAATCTTTCTTGTCTGATTGACATTTTAATATTAGTTTTTATGGTGATGTTTACAAGACCTGATTCCATTTACTGAACAGGTATTATGGGTTGGCTTTGACAAATTGGAGCTTGGTCCAGCTGTCTTCAGACGCGTTCTCTTACTTGGTTATCAGAATGGTTTTCAGGTTTTTGATGTTGAAGAGGCATCAAGTCTAAGTGAATTGGTTTCCAAACGTGACGGTCCAGTTACATTCTTACAGATGCTTCCTCTTCCTGCTAAATGTGATGGTGCTGAAAAGTACAGATCATCATATCCCTTGATGGTGGTGGTTGGGGGCGATGAGGATGACAGACCGAGCCCGGTTCAGAACTATAGCTATGGGTGTGGTAGATATGGTTCTGCTGAGTCTCAATCTGGGAACTCTGTCGACCCTCCTACAGCTGTTAGATTTTACTCCCTTCGATCAAATGTATATGTGAAAGTTATCAATTTTAAATCTGCTGTCTTTATGGTCAGATGCAGTCCTCGAATTGTAGCTGTGGGTCTTGAAGAACAGGTAAGGTTTTGGTTTCCTTCATTTTTTCAATTAAATAATAGTTACAAGAGTAGAGGGTAAGCTGTCTTCAAAGTGTAAAATTAGAAGTGAGATGTGAATTATCTATATATTTTCCTAAATTTGTCACAACAGCCAATAAATCAGCAGGGTCATAAGTAGAAATACGCCAATTGTTAAATTACATGTGCCCACTCTTTTTCCTTGCTCTGCATTCTTCCTGTATTTGTCCCTGTGGTTTCTGCATGTTGTGGGTTTTTGGGTCCTTGACTTTCAATCTCACAATGGTCTGAATTATTTTCTTCTAGCTCTAAAAGCAACTTGATTATTTACTGAAGTGCACATTATTCTGATGATAAAAAATTGATCCAAGTACAATGCTTTACAGGACTATGATTTTATCAATAACTGGTTTACATTTCGTTGAACAGATATACTGCATTGATACTATCACTCTTGAGAAGAAATTTACTGTTCTCACCTATCCTGTTCCCCGATTCGGAGAGCAAGGAACAGTTGTGATTGGCACAGGCTATGGTCCAATGGCCATGGGATCAAGGTGGTTGGCATATCCTCCTAGTCGCCCTATTATATTGAACACAGGTAGGTTGAGTCCAAAAAAACTGGCATCGAGTGTGAGTCCATCAACATCTCCGGGCAGCAGTTTGATGGCTCGTTATGCATTGGAGTCCAGCAAGCAACTGGCAACGGGAATACTCACCCTGGGGGACATGGGCTACAAAAAATTATCCAAGTACTACCCAGAGCTGCTTCCTGATGGTTCTAGTTCTCCTGGCTGGAAAGGTGGGAAGCTATTAACTTCTGAACCAGAAGATGCTGGAGTGGTGAGTTTAATGCTGTGATACAATAAGTATTCCCTTTCAGTTAATTGAACAAATGGGTTGGCCAGAAAATGGGTTTTAAGTATTTTATGTGTAAATTCTCCCTTTAACCATGCTCTAACTTAAAATTTTCTGCATTTTCACTCACGCGAGAGAGTTACTATTGTTATTATCGTTTTACCTTGTCGCATTTGTAAATTGCAGGTTGTTGTCAAGGATGTTGTTTCGCTAGAAGTTATATCCCAGTTTAGAGCTCATACGAGTCCAATATCTGCTTTGTGTTTTGATCCAAGTGGGACCCTTTTGGTCACTGCTTCAGTACATGGAAACAACATAAATATTTTCAGGATCATGCCTTCTCAAACGCGCAGTGAATCAGGCTGCCATGACTGGAACACTTCATATGTACATCTCTACAAGCTGCATCGTGGAATAACTACAGCTGTATGAATACATCCATTTCTCTAGGTTTATTTATTGTTAGTATCATCTTCTTCCCAAGGGGTCCCTCATTTTCATGTAATTTGCTACCTCCCTTTTTATTTTTACACAACAGGTCATCCAAGACATTTGTTTTAGTCATGACAGCCAGTGGATTGCTATTGTTTCATCAAAAGGGACTTGCCATATTTTTGTTCTATCCCCCTTTGGTGGAGATGCTGGGATTCAAGCTCTACATTCTCATATCCAAGGTACCTTGTATCCATTTTCATCTCCACCGTGGTGGCCTACTTCATCTTTCGCTGTAAATGAGAAATGTTCTTCGCCTCCACCTCCTTGCACCCTCTCTGTGGTGAGCCGGATAAAAAGCAGTGACTCAGGTTTGCTTAATTCAGTAAGCAATGCTGCTTCTTCGATGGCAGGGAAGATATGCGTGCCATCTGGAGCTCTTGCTGTCATTTTCCACAGTTCCAAGTCAAGTAGTTTTGCGAATGTTCCATCAAGGGCTTGTTCCTTGGAACACGTCTTAGTTTACACTCCATCAGGCTTTGTGGTTCAGCATGAACTTCTGTCATCTGTGGGGATAGAAGTAATTGATTTTAAAGCAGAAACTTGGTCAGGTCCACAAGCACCAACACAAAACGAAGAGTTGAAGGTCAAAGCTGAACCTATTCAATGGTGGGACGTTTGTAGAAGATCGGATAATCTGGAAAGAGAGGAATGCGTTTTTGGGAGCAGCTTTGATGGACAGAATGATCCTGAGATAGATGATGACTCAAAAACGGTTTTCCAGGAGAAGGAAAGTGCTAAGGAAAAGAAACTAGTCCAGAGTGATTCCTTTTCGTCCCCTGAGAGATCACACTGGTACTTGTCCAATGCTGAAGTGAAAATAAACTCCTCTAGTTTACCAGTATGGCAAAAGACTGAGGTATTTATATATTTTCTTCTGTTTGGTACACATGTCCGAGGTACTTCTAATAGTATTATTACTTGTATCATTGTATTATGTGCTGTTTTGATGGTTATCAACTTTGAATTCTTAGATACATTTCTATGTTATGGAACCCTCGAGAGCGGAATGTTATTCAGGTGGGGAATTTGAAATTGAGAAGGTTTCTTCACATGAAGTTGAAGTAAGACAAAAGGATTTGCTGCCAGTATTTGATCATTTCCCTGTCTTGAGAACTCCCTGGATAAACAGGTGATTGCTGTCTTAATGTTTTCTTGTTTTGGTCAATTTTTGTTGTCTTGATGTTCATAATCTGTTCCTGTCTGGTAAATTTATTTTGGATCTTGTCCAGTAGTGGATTAAGTCATTTGAATTTCTTACATTGATGGAAGTCGCTACTTAGGATTGATATATATGATTAGCATGGGAAACTTTTTCAAATGTGGTTGGCGGTGTTGGTGGTTCTATATGTATTTTGCTAACTCAAATATCACGTAATTTGTCATATGGTGGTCCTGAAAGAAGTTTTCGGACAATCATATGGTGGTCCTGAAAGAAGTTTTAGGACAATTGAAGTGGTATTGCTGCGATATTACAACTGTTTTCAGAAAATCGAGTTATTCATCCAAGATCAGTGCCTTTTGAGGGAAGATATCCTAATGTGCTGTCTTCGGATCCTAGAGAGAAGACAAATGAAGCGAGTATCATTTGTCATTCAGAGCCACCATCATTTAGTTCTACTGAAAGCTCTGATGGTGGTTAGTCCTTTGTCTCCTATTAATGCGTTAGTTCCCCTAGTTCTTTTGGTGGATCGAGCATCCTGAATACTTTGTGAATTTACTGGATTTATCAACAGCAAGAAATTACCTTTATGAAATCTCATTCCTTAAAATAAAAGATCTCACGTATAAAACTGTTATATTTTGATGTCAAACTCACTTCTCGACTTTTTTTATCAGGATCATCCAGGCGAATTGAGAATTTGCTTGATTTGGAGCACATGAACATTGATAAGTCTCCAATGCACTTTAGCAATTCTCCCAGTGAATTACACGTAGGTAGAGAACAGAGTACCAGTCTCAAGACTTCCATAATGGACCAGAGATCTGGGAATGACATGCCCTTAGCTCGTGAACAGGGTAGAGTAGATTTTAATGTCGATAATAATACAACCGCGAGTATGTCGTGCTCATCTGGGAACGAGACCCCATTATTGGACGCTGACAATACTGACTCAGTTGAAGACATTCTTATGCCTTCAGGAATGGAGAAAACGGTAGATTTTGGGCAGTTCTTCAAGGAAGGCTACTGTAATAAGCCAGATATTCGCGAACCCCACCAAACAATCGACGTTGAAAATAATCAGGAGGAAGGCAGTAGCAGTAATTCCAACGACAAGGAAAAAACCGAAGACGATGAATGGATTGGTGGTGTTTTCGAATTCTCCGAAGAAGGTAACCACAGATTGAATTATAAAATGTCTCATTTCTCTTTTATTGTACTGTTTTTTGGTATCATGCAATTTTTTTTCAATTGCAGGTTAATTGCTTCTTGTGCATTAAATTGTACAAATTGTGTTCTACCATCTTGAAGAATTTCATTCTCAAATTATGAGGTGTGTGTGCTCAGCAACTCTTTATGTATATTCTGTATATAGAAATCGTTAAGAGACGTGAAAGAAGATGTTCGGTGGAAGTTTTCCTGGGCTTAAATTCGTGGTATGTACAGATTTACTGTGAACAGCTCGTCTGCTAAAAAAAAAAAAAAGAGGGAAAAACAAATGAAAAGTAATGAAACAAAAATTTAAACTATTAATTCCATTTTGGGATTTGTTGTTAATTATGTTGTAGCTAATGGCTAATTGTTGTTAATGGAATGATACTTGCCTTGCCCATAAAACGCTCTTGACCGGCATGAAGAAATGGTAGAATAACAAATTTAACAATGATTTAAGCCTTATACTAAATAAAATTGGATGTCAGCTGCATGAATTAATTTTGTTGTTTCATATAATACTTTGAGCACTTGTTTGTCTTCTTTTAAATCATAACCTCTTAAATTTCATATTTATTTTCAATCATGCATTTACATAAAAAAATATTTTGCACATAAAATTAAAACTTTTGCTTATTTTTTAACTACACAATATTCGAAAAATTACTATTCAAAAAATTATTATTATTTTAATTTTTTTCAAGATAATGACCATCAAACAGGTGTTAAATCTTTTGTAGTTACAAATTAATCTTTGTCTACATGCTTTACGTAACCCTCTTTGCCATAACACTCAGGTACAAAGTATTTTTGCATTTACGGAATACATTTTTAACTATTTGTATTATTTGGCAAGTCAAAGGTCAATACGACAAGAGTATAACAATTAACTAGTCTAATAAATATTCTATAAGATTAACTTCACATCCCGTCTTCAAATTTTCAAATTTTGAAGCACTTGATCAAAGTTTAAACTCTCGAAATCAAGATCTACGTGAAACCAACGAGTACGAGTCTTCAGAAAACAATTGGACGCTTGATCCAGTTATAAATATCCAACATAAATCCTTAAATTTATTTTGTGTAACATTATGAAAATACTATTTCGCCTATGGATGGCAATCGGGCTCGTTTTCCTGAGCCGGCTCGGTAGGCCCGAGCCTAGCCCCATTTCGGGGACACAGGCTTTGTTCGAGCTGGCCCGTGAGCTCCAAAAATAAATAAATTTTGGCGGCAAAACTGCTACCTTTTAAAGGCAACGAACAAAAAAGGGGAAAAAACGAGTCTGCCCGACTCGGCCCGAAAAAAGCCCGAGCAAAATCTTGGGCCGAGCCTTTTTTTTTTTGCTGGCCGAGCAAAAGAGTCCGCAAAAAAGCTTGGTCATTTTAATCGGAACGAGCCTGAGTCGTTCGGCTCGACTCGGCTCGTTTACATCCCTAATTTCACCCGAATAAGTAAGAAAGAAAAAGGCAAAAATTAGGTGGTGTGGCCAATATGGTAATAAAATATTGTTTTTGAAATTACAGGGTGTGTAATCGCCACGCTTTTAAGGCAATATTTTTATATCAATTTTTTCATCGATATTTTACTATTTCAATCGTCATTTTTGAATTCTTCTTTCGCGAATAAGACCCACTTTATCTCTCTAACGATCAAAAAATCAATTAACAATATCCCTATCAAACAAACACACAATTTTTCCGAATATCCTTAAATCATGTTAAAGGATAAAAATTTCACATAGGTTAAATATCGAAATATTGACAAATTTAAAAAGATCTTGGGTTACTCCTCTTAACAAGATTGACCTTATTAAGATAGACCCCAAATTTTAACATAGTATCAGAGCCATTAAGTTTGAACGAGTGATTCGATCCGATTATAAATCTCAATTAATGAGCAATGGATTGCAAAATTGATCTGTTCAAACGAGCTACCATTTTGTAGGAACGTGTTAAACGATAAAAATTTCACATCAATTAAATACTGAAATATTGATCAATTTAAAAAGATCTCGGGCCACTCCGAGGTTGAGCCCAAATCTTAACAAATCACTCCAAAGTTCCACTAATCGCTGGTTAGTCAATGATTTTAGGTTTTAATTTCATCATTAATACATACCATTCTAATCCGTTTCAACTTTCTTTCCTAAAATGATTGTACGTTCACTTGGGCATATCATATATGAGATCTGCAAGGTGAAACTTAACGTTTAGGACAGACACAAACAAAAAGACCCTATTTCTGAGCGGTTGTGTGCACCAGAAAATTGAACAACTTCAGCCTGAGCGAAAGCAAAAGTAAATGGAAGTTGTGGGACAGTTGCAGAGACAATATGTTGACTTCATAACTTCTCTGTTTCGTGAGGTAACTACTTTTTTTTTTAAATATATTTTTTTCCCTTTTTTTCCCAAGAAATGATGGAAAACAGATCTTCTTGGAAAAAAATTAAAGTGCTCTTTTTTTATTTTGTTCAATTTGACGTTTTTTTTTACATGGGTTTTCTTATTCTTGTGTTATAAAGGCATATTTAGATGATCAGTATGTTCAGCTGCAGAAATTACAAGATGACAGCAACCCAGAATTTGTGGGGGAAGTGGTTTCAATTTTCTTTGAAGATTCTGAAAAACTTTTGAATGATTTGGCTTCTTCTCTGTTAGTTTCAATTTCTCTATTTTGGGTTTTTATTTTGTGTTTAAGACCTTCACTTTTATTGATGGTTGTTTTGTTTTTTTACTTTTTTTATTTCAACAATATAGTCAACAGCAGGTTGTAGATTTTAAGAAGGTTGATGGCTATGTCCACCAGTTCAAGGGTAGCAGCTCCAGGTATCAATTTTTATTTTATTTTTTTCGATTTTGCATATTTAGTAAAAGAAATAAGCTTGGCTTTGGTAATTTTTGCTTAACTATTTTACATTCTTCACTGTTTCGTTAACTAAATTCTTGAATTTTGATATTTGTGGTTTAATTTGCTCATCATTAATTATTTACATATGAATTAATGTGAAGTAGCCAATAAGAAAAGCTATTGTTACATTCAGATCTGGTCAAGAAATTCAGAGTTATTCTTCATTGTGAATTTTTTTCTGTAATTTGGACATCACAGTGTAGGTGCACAAAGAGTGAAGAATGCATGTGTTGCCTTAAGAAACTTTTGTGAGGAGAAGAATCTTGACGGGTGAGTTGACTATGTTCCATACTTTCATTTAATTGATTTTTGTCTTAGTGCTATTTGGAGTAAGCATTATGAAAGAATCTATTTGTAAGGCTCGGCTGGTCAAATATTGAAAGATTATGTCACATTCTTTAGTATGATTTTGGATTGCATTGTCCACTTAATTTGGACTTGGACATGATCGTATGTTCTATTTGAGTTACATATGAAAATGGAACATGTGCATTTGCTATTGAGGAAAAGCTTTCATCCTCTTTTGATTTTTTGTTTTAGTTCTATCACGAAGAATAATGCCCATACTAAAAGCATCAATCCCATTTGCTCTAAATCACGGCTTCTAAAACCTCTAGAAGGCGCTGGATCACGAGTGTCCATTATGGATCAACTCTTTTTAATCTGAATCAAGATGGTAAATTTCACTTTGTTCAAAATAATAAAATGGGGCAGTGCATGGGACTGGATGAAAACAAAACCTTTGGATATGCATTGAATGATTTCGTTTGTTGTTGATTGAGCCTTTCTAAACATTGGTTGTGATGATCAGTGTGGAAGTAGTCACGACGTGTAAACCTAATAACCTCTATCGTCACTAGTTGTAGTCAGCAAATTGCAAATCATTGATGGAGAGATATACAATATCTTTTTTAGCTATATCTCGAACTTTTTTGGCTAATATGAGAGGCTGAGCATGATTGGCTAAGCTTAGAAGCAAGTAAAAAGTTAGTTTTGAGTAACTTTTTCTTTCCCAACAAATTTGGGTATGTTACATTTTCCTTTCTTTTAATTACGGAAAGTTAGTTAATTTAGAAGCAAACTCTTGTATCGCTGGTCTACAGATTTCCAACCAATAAAAAATCAATATATTCAAAAAAATTTACTTATTTAAGCTTAGAGATCCTTTTTAAGCTTAGCTCGACATGATCTCTGTTGGAAGAATAATATTTGTAAAATATTCTTTGATAACATAGTTACATCACTGACGTTTTTTCTGAAACAATACGACCGGTGGTCAAAAGTCACTTCCTCGTATTAGAGAATTTTGTATTGGCTAAACGAAAGAATTTTGGTGCAGGTGCTCGAGATATCTTAACTTGGTTAAACAAGAATTCTATCTGGTGAAGAACAAGCTGGAAACTTTGTTAAGGGTAAGTATTACTTTATGGTGAACTTATATATAAGCAAATTTAACGAATAGTAAACTGAAATTTCGTTCAAATATCATCACAGCATAATGAAGCCTCTTGCATGCAAAATTAATATGATGCATAGAAAAGGAGTCTTCTAGCCTATGCACAACTTTAATCTCTGTGAGAAAATAATGGACGTTCACAGGCTTATGAAGATTAAGCTGTTACAGAAGTCTCAGTTACTTTCTTTAAAAAAAAAATAAATAGAAGCTATCTTTGTTTCTTTGAATCCTGATAAAAGTTGAGGAATTGTCTTATCACCCTAAAGTCATGCGGCTCAAACAATTTGCATGCCTATTGAAGGAGTTCCTATTTTGTCTAATCCAGTTCTTATATAACTGAAAAGACGTAAATACAGATTTGTTTTCTTGGCCATTTTCTTGATCTATCTGTTTCCTTTATATTTTTCAATAAACAACTTTACCTTAAGCAGATTTAGGGCATGTTTGATGGAGATTTTGAAAGGTCAAAAGTTGTTTTTGAACATTTTTGGATATTTTTTTGGAAGCGTGTCTGGCTAGAAGAACTTTTAGAGAGTTTTCTCAAGAAGCTCTTCTACAAGAAGTAAAAGACTTACCAAACGAATTGAGTTATTTCGACTACAAAAAATGTCAAATTTTTCTTACATTGAATCATTCATGTATGTGTATAACCCGTACATGTTTTAGCGGGTCTTACTGGCCCTTATTTCTTTTGATGAAGAATTTTTTCGAATATGTTTTTCTTGCTTCTGAACTTCCCCGTGTTAAATGCAGATGGAGCAGCAAATCTTGCAAGCTGGAGGGACGGTTCCCTTGCTAGAACAAGTACCGTTGCTGTGGAAACAATAGGGCCAAGGCCAACAACTTCGAGCGCTTTTTCTTGTTATTTAGCTGCTTTGTCTGCTAGATTCTGTTATATGTAGTAAAAATTGCACATATGGAATATCAGAAGGATCAGAAAAATTGGCCGTGTTGCCTTTGGTTTTCTCTCCATTCTCCACGCATTTCATTGCATCTACGTTTCATATTTGCTTACAAATCACTATAACTGTATTCTAGTGCTATTTTTGTTGAATTTTAATTTCATTTATAGACAATTTTACCCCTTCAAAGTTAAGCCAATTCTCTTTACATCCCTCTCACCTTACACTTTCAGCATGTGCAAGTCAACCCTCCAATTGTAGCCCCAACGTGATCGTGGTCTCCCTTATTAATTGTGAAAGAGACCATTATTTTTTCTTCTTTTTTTTTCCTATTTTCATGTCTAGAGGTTGTTTGACGAAGTTTTTGATAAAATATTTTAGCAGGTTTTGATAAAAATTAATGAATTATGTAATTGAAAAGTTGATAGAAATTGTGAGTCCTATAAAATGTGATTAAAATTGAAGTTTGATCGGTTAAAAAATTGATAAAAGTTTTAAAACAAGCTGCAAGTTTATACGCGTATTCATTTCAAAAAATTCTACTTTAAACAAAAATTAAAAATAAAAAATAAAAAAAAAATTATTCGGTTCGAAATATAAGTATAATATCTTCTGCTACCTAAATAGATAAGAGAATATAAAGTAAAAAAGGTAAATGACAAATTTTCAAAGTAAAAATAGAGGAAGAAAGTAAAAGCAAAGAAAAAGAGTTGAATTCTGTGAAATTCTCAACATCCAACCCCCCACCATTTTCTTTATTTCAAGAATTGGCAATTTTGGTACAAACTTCAAAGGGATGCTTTGATTTGTCATTTTCTCAAACTTTAACTAGAAAAAAAGTTTACAAAAATACAAATTTTCTATCAAGTGAAAGTAAATTTCAATACGTCTTTTAAAATCGTTATTGATTACGCGAATTAATAATGGGTATTCTCTTTATACCATTCTTATCTCGAACACATTATTTGCATTAAAGGCAAATGATCCGTAAGTAAGTTTTTGCCCTATCTTTTTGCCGCTTCATCTAAATTTCATATCATATAAGGTGAGTTTCACTTTCACCATGTCAATGTCTCTACGATTTTTCATCTTCTCCTCTCCTGAAATTAGAATGAAATGACTTGAGTATTCAACGTAAACATCATGCAATTCATGTGGGGCTTTTTAAGCCAAAGACGAGATCACTGGTCCAGGCCCATGATACCAAAATATAAAATGAACTAAACTGGTCGACAGTAACAATTCTTCTATCACATTAATTGTTAATTTGTTATATATACATGCAAGATTCCTCTTGACATTTCACATCCACTTTTCCATGAATTGCCTAAGGTCTCAGCAGAGTTTTCCATTTTATGGGTTTCTGCAGCTACTTTAATTTACTTTTTATCATTTTCCCTTTTATTTTTATTTGCATTTACTTTTCAGAAAATAAATTGAACTTTAAAATTTTCAGATATTTGCCCAATAATGTATTTCTAGTACAGTTGAAATTCTAGCATTAAAATATCATTACAAGAAAATGTGGTTGCAAAAATTCTCTTTTTCAACATCGTCAAACTTTAATAATTTGATCACTTATAACATATACAGCTACGAGTATATTACTTATCTTGTTCAAGATGAACCACGGTAAGAGATGCTAAAATATTTGAATTCTTATATGTCAAAGAAGTTTCTGGGCATTGGACGGATTTTAACATCTTCTTAACCCGAAACGAACATGATAATTACATATGCATGGAGATGTGTCACCTTGTAGTAATGAAAAGCAATTCACATGGCTGAATGAAAGAGACAACATACCTAATGTATATAAATAAATAAACATAAGTATCATTTTTAGGGAGTAGAAGGTAAATACTGGAAAATATCGAACGATTGAATTGTAACTCGAGACAAATTAAAGATACACTCTTGCAACAAAAACTATATTAATGTTTTATGGGGCATGACAACTAGAAAATTAATCTAAAAAATATGTAGAAGAAACTTCTCTGGTGCCTAATATTGTACTGACTATCAACAACGATAACTACTCAGAGCGTCTAAGTAACAAGTCGACGTCGTAATGCCTCTTTTCTTATTTCGAATTTATTCAGGAAAAAAAATCTTCGCTTGAAAATGATGAGAGTCTACAAAGTTTGTTGGGGTTGGTGCAAATAAAAACACACATTCCCGTGCAATTACTCCATCTATTGGACCATTTGAGGGGTGTTGGCATTGTCCCTATGATGTTCATATCAATTCCAAAAGGAGTTACATATCTACACAACCCAAATACTAAAGCAATGTCATTGCTCAAATTTGGACATGGATTAAAACATAATTCATAGAAAGTATTTGGAAAAATTATAAACTAACCTCTCGAAATTTCTTAATCTTAAAATAATTTATCAATACAGGGCTAAGAAGAGGTTGAGGGCAAAAGAAATTAAGAAAAAAAAATAGTTAAGCATAAACTTATTTGAGATTCGCTTGATTGGTCTACCGTTTATAAGATCACAAATGCATTTAGCAATGATCTTTCTCTAGAACTCTCAAATGAGTAAGAGAAGATAACGAAAAAAAATTTCGATTCAAAGTAACAAGACGAGAGCAATATGCTTAATAATCAACATCAGATTTTTGACTCTTTAGGTTAGGAAGACGAGCTATATGCTTAATGTAAGTGCAAAGAAGTATTCTTGAAAATGATAGAAAATCACATATCCCAATTTGACTCTAATTCGACTTCTTCATTTTTTTTTTCTTTTTTTTTTTTTTTTCCTTTTTGGGTAAGTTTTAAAATGTTTGAACTGGTATTTAAGATGTTGATAATTAATGACAAGAAGTATAATCATTAGATACAATATAGAAGAATGTAGTTGATGTGACCATCGTTGTACATTCTACGTACCTAATTTTGATTTTTTGCATCATTAAATATGAGCAACCCCAACAAACCTTGTAATGTTGCCCTTGGCTCTTAGTGGCACGCACATTTTCTCCAATAATTAAAAGCAGAAGAAACTAAAAAAAAATCAAAATCAAGTGAAAATTGTTGAATTGCATAAATCTCAAGAATTAACCTATTTGGCCTGGGTCAAATCCAGCCCAATAACAGGGCGCGGGGCGTTGAGCACGTTTGAAATCTCAGTTAGGCTTGGAAACAAGCTAGTCAAAAAGGTCAAACAAGCACCGGAAAAACTATAAAAACAAATTGAAACAGCAATACTAAAACAATTTAGGAAGATTTACATGTACATTAGCTTGTACATAAAGGTGTCCATAATGGACACCCAACGCCTCGGCATTGGTCAAGACGCCTGTCAAGTTTGGGCTCACAGGCACATCGGCCAATGCCATGGACACTCTTATATACAAGCTAATGTACAATAAGAATTGCCCCCAGGGCACATCTTCAAGTGGTAAAAGGGGAGGGTGGAGAAATCCAGCTTTGCTTGAGACTGCCGCGTGAAGGGTTCGAATCCTGAAATATGGATTTGGCTCTTGAGTAAGTGCAAGTGTACAAGCAGCCTTCCACCCTGTACCCTTGGAGGCATAACCTGCGATTTACCTCCTTCACGATGCTCTAGGGTAGGGGCTGTGGGGGACCCTTAAGGTTGGGGTTCAACCTTTAATGTACAACAAGAATTATCCAACAATTTAACAACTCTTAATTGTTGTTGTATTTCTTTTTGTGGGCCATATCATACACAATTTTTTATTTACATTTAGAAATACATTCTTACATATCCATAATCAAGATGAAGTTCAGATGAAACTCGTTGTTTGAAAACATCCGATATTGGAGAATCAACATCAATGAATTGTAAATGGATCGATGTTAAAGAATAAGGAGCTGTTCTCTTTGACGTTTTACTGGTCGTTTTCTATTTTCGATTTTTCAAAACAATGAAAACGCCTTCTCTTTCCCGTTTTCGAAAACAAAAAAAAATTGTGAAAAAACACAAAACAACGAAGGAGTGGCCGTGAGAAAATTTGTGAAAAAACACAAATTCTGTTGAAAATACTAAAAACACGCCCAAAATCAAAACACGCAAAATAAGAGAGAGAAAAAAAAGTGGATGGCCGTGAGACTTTCAGCTTCATTCTCTCCTTTGGGCCATCTCCTCCTTCTCCCTTCTTGACGTCAACGACGAAGGAGTGGTTGATGGTGGTGGCGTCAACGCTAGCGCCGACGAGGCGACGCTGCTCCAAACTACAGCAGCGTCGCGACCTCCGCTCCAAACCACAGCAGTGTTACAACCTATTCGTTCCTCGCGATGCTGCTATGGTTGGGCCCGACGTTCACAGCACGGTGAGCGGGGATGGGTGTTGATGGTGGTGGCGATTTGGTTTCTTCTCTCTCTCTCACTGTTGGGGGTTCTTTGGTTTTGGTTGATGGTTGTGGCGATTTTGGTTTTCGTTGATGGTTGTACCGGCGGTCAACAATGACGATTTTCGCAATGGTGTTGATGGTGGTGGTAACGACGGTCGATTTTGTGGCGGTGATTGGTTGTCTTGGTGACTGGTTGGATTCTAGTCGTGGCGGCTTTGTGGTGGAGTTGTGATGGTGTTGTAGTGGTTTTTTCAAGAAAATGTTATAAAAAATTATTCTCAAAATTTACAAGTAAATTTTGACTGGTTGTGGTGGTTGCGATGGCGGTGGTGATTGATTGGCAAAGGTGATTCTAGTCGTGGCGGCTTTGTGGTGCAGTTGTCATGGTGTTGTAGTGGTTTTTTGAAGAAAATATTATAAAAAATTATTCTCAAAATTTACAAGTAAACACATTCTTCAATTTCAGGTTTTGAGAAACAGTTTTCTAAAATGACAAAAAGATTGTGTTTTCAAAGATCTCAAAATGAACACTCAAAATACAAAATCCAAAATAAATTCGAAACTCAAAATTACAAAATTCAAAGAGAACAGCCCCCCTAAATGATTGGGTTTTGATTATGAATGAAATATCATTCGAATCCAAAACTAAACTAATTATTCTCAAATGAGAGTAACATCTTGGACGCGAAGCCACAAAGGACACCAAAATTTGACTCCGGCTGTCACCGTCATTGCTCCGCCCCAAACCGCCTTTATCCGTTCCCATTCTACCCTTCTTTGACTTCTTACGTGGCAGCACAATATTAGAGGTGGCATTAATGCACACATCCAAAAGGTTACCCTCTACCACCCCAAATCATTTATCTTTCAGTCAAAATTTTAATAATCTCATTAAAAAAACTTAATTATTTATCAAATTTATGCGGTGGCAACAACCAAACCGTCACGGGGTCCTCGTCTAAACCGCCGTTAAAATCGAAACCTAGTAATCTTACCCTCCCACGTAGGCTCGGACTACCGTTTATCTCACCGAACCTCCCCTAATAAAGAAACAAAAACCCACATTAATTTTAACAAAAATCAAAACCTAAACCCCTAAAATACGTAAAATATCATTAACCTGCTGTCTCTTTGTACTTGCTGCAGTCATTTCACTCCCCACTTTCTCTACCTTCTCCCACAAGCCCCACTTCACGAAAATCGCTGCAATTTTCTTGATTTTTCAGCTTTTATTATTATTATTTTTTTATTTTTTGTTTTTGTTTTTGTTTTTGCTTTCATGTGAAGCCATTCTCTCTGCAACCTTTTTGCTGTCTCCATTAAAGCTTTCACGACCTCATTTTTCCCACCAGAAGTTGAAGAACACTTTCAGAAATCCTTTATAAATCCCTTGTGATAAGTTCTTTTTCTTTCAGTCATACTCCTAAAATGTGGTGTTCAGTGAGGAAAAGGAGAGATTATAGGTTTAGAGTTTTGATTCATTTCATTTTCGTCCTTCTGGAATGTAGTTTTCCGGTGGGTGCAATTTTGGACCCGATTGATTTCCTGGCATTGCAGTCGATCCGGAAGAGTTTGGATGATTTGCCCGGGTCGAATTATTTTGGTTCGTGGGATTTTACTTCGGATCCATGCAATTTTGCTGGTGTGTACTGTGATGGAGATAAAGTGATAGCTCTGAATCTTGGTGATCCACGGGCCGGGTCTCCGGGTTTAACTGGTCGGATAGACCCGGCGATTGGGAAACTGTCTGCTCTTTCGGAGTTTACTGTAGTTCCGGGCCGGATCATAGGGTCTCTGCCTCAAACTCTGTCTCAGTTGAAGAACCTCAGGTTTCTTGCTGTCAGCAGGAACTTCATCTCCGGTGATATTCCGGCGACTCTGGGCGAGCTCCGGGGACTGCAAACGCTTGATCTTAGCTTTAATCAGTTTTCAGGTAGCATTCCGTGGTCTATCGGAACTCTACCGGCGTTATCGAACATCATTCTTTGTCACAACAAGCTGTCTGGTTTAGTCCCGCCGTTCGTATCCCAGACCCTAACCCGGCTCGATCTCAAGCACAATGATCTCGCCGGTTCCATTTCCCCACTTGGCCTACCCCCATCACTCCAATACCTCTCATTATCATGGAACCGGCTGACAGGGCCAGTGGACCTGCTGCTGACCCGTTTAGACAGGCTGAACTACCTCGACCTCAGCTTGAACCAGTTCACCGGCTCCATTCCCGGCAATTTATTCACATTCCCACTCACTAACCTTCAACTGCAAAGAAACCAGTTTTCTGGCCCAGTAGAACCTGTCGATCAGGTTACAATCCCAACTGTTGATCTCAGCTTCAACCGGCTTTCAGGTGGGATTTCTCCATTATTCTCTACAGTCCAAAACTTATACCTAAACAACAACCGGTTCACCGGAGAAGTACCGGGTAGCTTCGTCGACCAGCTATTATCCGCCGGTATACAAATCCTGTATTTGCAGCACAATTATTTGACTGGAATCGAGATTAATCCTTCAGCTGCGATTCCACTAAGCAGCTCATTGTGCCTACAGTATAATTGTATGGTGCCGCCTATAGAGACGCCATGCCCATTCAAAGCTGGGAAGCAAAAAACAAGGCCTACTGAGCAGTGCATTCAGTGGAAAGGGTAAGCTGGAGAAGAACGGGACACGTTGGGAATTGCAGTGGTTTTGGGGCATTAAAATTAAATTCATTTATTTGTTTTTGCAATGATATGGGTAATTAATTAATCTGATAAAATAAAATTAAATTGTGGATAATAATCATCATAAGAGACAATGTAGCTAAGTTGATTTCAATTTATGGGCTGGCTAAAATATAATTAGGTTTGCTAATTTTTGGTATTTGATTTGTAATTAGGTAACTAATGGTTTATCTATTATGTTAATTTCTTATTGTTTTTATAATGCTTTCATTTATTCAATGACAAGTATCAAGAATGGATAGGTAGCTCAATTGATTTAATGGTATGGAATAAGCCATTTGTACAATGAATTTGTACAACATATTTGACAATGGTGTAGGTGTCAAAAAAGTATTGATGAGAAAGATAAAATATTTTTCGAACTGTTCAATGATAACCCGTCACGTGATATATTGTCAAACTTGTTGTAAAAATGATTATACAACAAGCATGATTCTTTATTGATATTCTCAAGTCGGACAATCTTTGAATAATGCTTTATTTATTTGTGTTCTTTTTATTTGTCCATCATATCATTGGCTCTGAGCTTCTTGTTTTGCATTTGTACAAATAAATACTGTTTAGAATCAGAAGACGTTGAGAATTGTCAGGACTAAGATCAGAATTTTTATTTTATAATAAATATTTTCTTGTTTTCTATTCTTTAGTATTTTTATTGCTAAGAATATAAGTCAATTAATAACAAAACTAGCATCAATTAGTGCGATTTAATTAATGAAGCAAGTAGGACATATGTATTAAAAATTTTGTAGTTCTTTTCTTATTCGGGCGTGGATGTCGTGTTGCATTTATTGATTGATTGATTATGAAGGCTTAAAAATAAAGAGGTTGCCAACTTTTACAAATTAAGTTGAAAAAAATTAGATTTTTAATAAAAGTTAATAGAACATGTGTTGAAAAATTGATAAAATTTGTGACTTTTATAAAATATGTAGTTGAATTAGACCCTATTAATTTTTCATTCCATTACGTTCTATTTTTCTCTATCCTATTTTCAATCACAAAATTTTTTGTAAAATAATATTACACGTAAATAAAAAAAAATTTCTTTCTTTTTCAACCACTCATTTTCATTTCCGCAAAATGTGGCCAAACGGTGGCTACTTGCTAATTTAGCCTTAAATTTTTATTTTTTATTTTTTGCTAAATTAAAGAATTAATTGTTCCAATGGTCATTTAACTTAGGTCCAAGTTTTTATTGGTCACTGAAGTTTAAAATATCAAATTTTGGTCACTGAATTAGGTTCATGTCTTCAATTGTTTACTGAAATTTAAAATATCGAATTTTAATCACTGAACTTTGAAAAATATTGTATTTTACTTACTAGTATAAATGTTGAATTTTGAAAAATATCTAGTTTTCAATGAGTAATATACAATATTTTTCAATGTTTGGTGATCAAAACTCAACATTTTTAACTTTACTAAGCAATTAAAGACATGAACCTAAATTCAATGATCAAAATTTGACATTTTAAACATCAACGACCAATCAAATATATGGATCTAAGTTCAGTGAACACTGAAATAATTAACTCTAAATTAAACAAGAAACATAATCAATTGGAGGAGTGAGATGGGCAATTCTGGATCGCTTTGTTTGTCTTTTACTTTTGACGGGGAATCATATGTTAATCAAGAAATCTTGTCAGTCAAAACAGTGACGAAAGCTAGCAGCTCATAATAATTTTTGTTTGAGCCCCCATTTGACCCCATCATTTCTCACTACATTAAAATTAAATTAAATGTTTCTCCCTCCTATTTTTAACCATATAATTTTCAATAAAATAATATTACATGTAAATCAAAAACTTTTCAACCACTCATTTTTCAAAAAAACACTTTAATCTCATTATAATTTATAAATAATGGGGCTCAAACGAGGGCTTAATTTCCCAAAGCAAGCTTCTCTTGCACAAGTAAACCATTTTTTTCCTAGAAATTTTGGGTCGATGCTCGATTTATACTTCTCAACGAGACTTGAGGGTTGAGTTTTGTGTTACTTTTTAACTTCTGAAAAACAGAAAAAAAAGGTGGAGTCGAGGTTGGGCGCAACGAGACCGACATATTGAATCGGGATAGCCCAGCTAGATGAATATAATTTTTTGTGAAAGTGCTTAAACGATGCTAGTATTGTAAAGTTATGTTATGTGTTGTTTAGGCAAGGCACTAATAATTTCTTAATTATTGAAATTGAAGAGTCTAAAAGAGTTCAAAGATATGATTTGCTTTATGAGAGTTTCAATTTGAATGCTTTAAATAGTAATTAATGTCCAAACATGATTATGTAATTTTTTGCAAGCCAAGTCAATATTCTAATCATGTTTATGCTTCATCCCTCTGTAAAAGGGCAAAAAGAACAGAGAATTCTTAAGCCCTTAAAGTTTATTTGACAAATTAAAGCCGCTTACCACAAAAGAGTGACACAAAAAATACCTAGACATTTTTATGTGACTTGTAAGCACGTGAAATGCTAATTCTACTGAGAAACGCTATCAAAGTATACAAGTACACATTCTTGATATTTTGAAGTGGACATAATAATAGATCAACATTTCACATGTCATTTGTATGAAGAGCATTTGTCAACCACAGGTCAAGTCATCATGGGAACCGAAACTAAACTACAAAATGATACCTGAAAGGCTACTTCTCCTAAAAACAAGACATATTCTCTAATAATAAGGAGAGTGGCTTTCGCCCTTCTTTTGTGAGTTCTATACTTTTTGGAGTGTCCTGAACCATTCCCTCACCTCATAAGTTAGGGGGTCTTAAATGGGAAGAGTGGAGCAGCTTGACTCGTCACGTGAGTTGATCTATTCCACGAACTTGCTTCTTGATGGCTAAAGATTGACCAATTCTTTTTTAAATTTTAAATTTTGTTATATTACTGATATTGCTTTTCATTCATTCATGATTAGTCGCCTCATAAGTCATTGACGAGTTATTATGCACACGAGCCAATGATTGGCAAGTGAGCTACCTCGACTCATGAGCCAACTTGTACGAAATTTTCGCTACTCAATTCGTTAATGGGGGCGAGCCGAGCCAAGTCGACGAGTAGCCCGTCCCATTTAATACCCCCTCCTACCTTAAGTCCAAAATTCAAGTCTTTTAGAATAGCATCTCACTCGTGACTTTGATGCAAAATTAATGTACCTCTTCATCTATTAATTATCTTCATTTGGTAGAGCAAATGCCCTCAAGTTAAAAAAAATAAAAAATAAAAATTCATGCATTCTCTATGAAATGAAAAAATATGGGTAGAGTAAATGATTGCAGGTAGTTAATAGAGTGTGCTTTTAGGTTTCATGAAGATATACGTAATGATAGAGCGGCTTCTCAAAGCAAAACCATAAGCTTTAAGCCTCTCATTGTACCATTATTAGCTTGCAAGGTTGTTCCATATTATTACACACTCGTGTCTACCTCAACTTTTAAACTTCCAATGTAAGATTGTAGTACCATCTTTTTGAGTTCATGAATTTCTTAATAGTAGTTGGTAGATTGCACTTGACATAATAGTTTTTTGCTGCAAGACCTGAGTTATTCCATCTTCCCCACAAAGACAACTTTAGGAAGTTTCAATTTGGATAAGGGGAAAGCCCCTTTGACAACACCCAAGAATAACCCTCTGGATAAAGAATAATTAATCATCAATATTAAGTCGATTATCTTCTTCTTCCTTTTTTTGGGACCCACTTTTTTCCTATTAAAAATTCAAGGATTTGATGCATATGACGGTTTATTGTTGATATTTGTTATGGGCTCGAGTTCAATAAGTTCTAATACCATGTTAGAGGAAAATCCCAAAGTTTTGTACGTTAGTTCTTTATTTTATATAGCCCTTGTTTGAACTCCATTTTTTTGGAAAAATTCATTTTTCAACAGTATTTTTACATTATTTCAACCACACATTTTTCAATAAAATAATATTACACGTAAATCCAAAATATTTTCTTATTTTTTAACCACACATTTCCCATTAATACACTATTCAAAAATTCAATTTTCCCAAAAAAATGAGGCTCAAACAAGAGCATAATCTTTCGATGTGAAATTTATTCATCAACATATCAAGCCCATGACCACAAAATGAAATTTGGCTTTCAACATATGACATACATATAACTTCATGGCTTCGATATTGTCGATTCATCAATTGAGCAACATGAAAAAATATAAATAAATAAATAAAATAGCATCAAATCTAGAGAGGATATGAGCTACTAAATGGTTCATGATAAAAACAAGTTATAACTTTTGTACAGGCTTTAAATCAGTCTGGGGATGTAGCTCAAATGGTAGAGCGCTCGCTTTGCATGCGAGAGGCACGGGGTTCGATCCCCCGCATCTCCATGTTAATTATTTCATTTTTATTTTTATTTTTTAACTGAATGCCACGTAGCACTTCCATTTTTTATTTGATGGGATTTTCAATTTTTCACTTTATCCTCTCAAGTAATTAACACTGTGCTCCAACTCTTTCACATCAATGGCGGTTCCTCTTTTCAATCTCGCTCCAGATATGACAGTCTCGAAACTCTGCTTAGGTTTTTTTTCTTTTTTACTTTTCAATTCCTCTTCTACTAATTCTTGGAAGAATTTCTCAATTTAATTATGTTTCTGTAATTATGGACACAGGGACCATGACTTTCGGCGAGCAAAACACGGTGCCTCAATCCTTTCAACTTCTGGATAAGGCCTTCGATTCTGGAATCAATTTCTTTGATTCTGCTGAAATGTATGGCATATTTTTTGCTTTATCTGTACATTTTTTTTTTTTTACCGTGTCTCTTTTTTAGCTTCACTCTTAATTTCGGATATTCGATGGTTAGGTATCCAGTACCGCAGCGTGCAGAAACTCAAGGAAGAAGCGAGGAGTACTTCGGCCGTTGGATGCGAAGTCGAAAGATCTCTCGCGAACGTGTAATCTTTGCTACAAAGGTCTTACTGGTTTACTTGATAATATATGCATATATAATTACACCTGTACGTGCACACTACACAATAATTAAAGTATATATTGTACTTTTCGATTTGAGTAGATGAAATGCATAAAGAGATCATAAATTCCTTGTTATCAGGATCTTATCTTCGAATTGATTTCTATGTATTGCGAAAAGAAAATCATATAATTCCTTGTTATGTGTATGAATTGAGCTTAAACTGAGCATAATTGAGTTGCTGCTATCAAAGTGAGCTGGCCATTTGTTTAACTTTGAAGACTTGAGGGAGTCTAACTGAAGAATAATCTAGTGCTTAATTGTATTTGAGATTCAAGTAGCTTAAAATCTTCAGCAGCTGACTATAAACTAAAAGATATTCAGAGAGAGCTTGATAGTTTGATGGTGTAGACAACTC